GAAGCACCAGCACCATCAACAGCAGAAGCACCAGCACCATCAACAGCAGAAGCACCAGCACCATCAACAGCAGAAGCACCAGCACCATCAACAGCAGAAGCACCAGCACCATCAACAGCAGAAGCACCAGCACCATCAACAGCAGAAGCACCAGCACCATCAACAGCAGAAGCACCAGCACCATCAACAGCAGAAGCACCAGCACCATCAACAGCAGAAGCACCAGCACCATCAACAGCAGAAGCACCAGCACCATCAACAGCAGAAGCACCAGCACCATCAACAGCAGAAGCACCAGCACCATCAACAGCAGAAGCACCAGCACCATCAACAGCAGAAGCACCAGCACCATCAACAGCAGAAGCACCAGCACCATCAACAGCAGAAGCACCAGCACCATCAACAGCAGAAGCACCAGCACCATCAACAGCAGCAACCAATCGCTCCATCGCTCCCTTCCACACCCACTGAGTTCGCGCTGCTGGGATGGGATGGGTAGGGGGAGGAGAGGGGTAGGTACGGAGGTGAAAGAGCAGGGAGAGAAAGTGATCGAGCAAACGCAGAGAAGGAGCATTGAAGCAATCACAGTAAACGTGAGAATGCAAAACGAGTGTGCAAACCAAAACAGTGGTTGGAAGGGTTTTGCAAACCAAACCAAACGAGTGTGCCACAGCTGTACCGAGTTTTGCTCTTCAAGTGATGCTCTAAGAGTGTTGCTCCTCGCGTGATGCTCTTGAGTGCTCCACTCCTCTTGTCTTGGAGCAAGGGCATGGGCTGGTGAGAATGAGAATAAAGGATACGGGATGCAGGAAACTGGTCGAGGATGGACTAAAGCCCTGGAAAAGGATCAAAAGCGACAAATGAAGCGAAGGCAGGGAAACCTGGAAGAATTGAAAAGTGAAAACAAGGTGGAAGGATGCAGTGAAAACAGAGAGGCGATGGTAGCCCATGGCACTAGGTTGGCGAGCTAGCGGGCAAGGGGGACGAGGTAAGAAGGAGACGCGGGCGTGAGTGTGAGTGCATTCTAGTCCCCTAGGACTCTAGTGTGAGCTCAAGCGGCCCCGGTGCCATGCGCTACCATCGCCACGCGCCAGAAACCCCAAGTCAACTTTTTGCTCCTCCCATGCGGAAATGAAGTTTTGGTTATGAGCATGCGGTGAGAGAACAACGCGTTACGAAAATGAACCAAAGATAGAAAGCGGTCAGGATGGCAAGAGGGTGAGTGAGGGGATTAAGAGGTGACTTAGCAGCGGTACGACGGGTTGAGCGACGGAAGCAGCAGCAGTCGCTCCCAGCAGCAGAGTGACTCCCATCATCAACGGCACTCCCAGCAGCACCCCTCCCAGCAGCAGCAGCGCCAGTCGAGCTCGTTTGGCATGTGAAGGAGTGGCGTGGTCAGCAGGGCATGCAGGACGCACGCCGTGCGTCATCCCACTGCCCTCCCTCCTCCTTCCCTGGGACAAGGAAATGGGTTTGAGAGAGAAGCTCTATGCGAAGGTGAATAAGAATCTGGTCCAGTAAAAAGGAAGCACTGGAGCAAGGAATAACTGCAAGAAGGCGGGGCAAACATGAAAACGAGGGTACATGTTGTGAGAAAGGAAGACGAGATAAGACAAACAAAACAACAACAGGAGAACAAAAGGCGGTGGTAGCACAAGGCACTAGGGCGGCGAGCTAGCATGCAAGGGTGGACTAGGGGTAAGGAAGAGACGCGGGCGTGAGTGGAGTCCATTTTAACTCCCTAGGACTCTAGTGTGAGCTCAAGCCGCCCCAGTGCCATGCGCTACTATCGCCATGCGCTACTATCGCCAGGCGCCAGAAACCCCCAATTCAACTTTTTGCCCCTCCCATGCGGAAATGAAGTTTTGGTTACGAGCATGCGGCGAGAGAACAACGCGTTACGAAATGAACCCAAGACAGCAAGCGATAAGGATGGCAAGAGGGCGAGTCAGGGGATTGAGTGGTGACTTAGCAGCGGTACTACGGGTTGAGCGACGGAAGCAGCAGCAGTCGCTCCCAGCAGCAGAGTGACTCCCATCATCAACGGCACTCCCAGCAGCACCCCTCCCAGCAGCAGCAGCGCCAGTCGAGCTCGTTTGGCGCGTGAAGGAGTGGCGTGGGACAAGGAAATGGGTTGGGAAGTGAAGGTAGAGGGGAAAAAATTGGTCCAGCAGGAGGCGCGTTGAACAAGGAATATTTGAAACTAAGGCAGAGACAAACGTGAAAACGAGTCGTGTGAAAAAAAAAAATGACAAAGAAAGCAACAACGATTGGCACCAGGGAAACGAAAGGAGATGGTAGCGCACGGCACTAGGGCGGCGAGCTAGCATGCGAGGGTGGACTAGGGGTAAGAAAGTGACGCGAGCATGAGTATGAATGCATTCTAGCCCCCTACGACTTTAGTCTGAGCTCAAGCCGCCCCAGCGCCATGCACTACCATCGCCTTTCGGAATTGACGTTTTGGTTACGAGCATGCACTGAGAAAACGAAGCGTTAAGAAAGTATAATTAAAGACAGAAAGCGAAAATGATGGAAAGGGATCGAGTAAGGGGTTGAAGAGGGGACTTAGCGACATGAGGGGTTGCTGAGCGACGGTAGCAGCAGCCGACGTTCCAAGACGCAACTAGATGCATCGCCGTCGCCGTCGCATTGAGCGTCGTATTCGCCTTCACCACCATCGATCGTCGCCGGAAATCTTCGAAACTTTTCGTCGCAGTCGTCACAAAAACGCTGCCTCGATCGCCAGCATCAACCAACACGTCGCAGTCACCAGCCTTCCACCATTCTGCCTTGATCGTCTACATCTCAGTCGGCAACGTGAGATTCCGCCGTCTTGAAGTCGCCTCGTCCCCGTCAGAACTCGCAGTCAGCACGAATCGTCGCCGTAAGATATCGCGATCTCAACATCAGAAGACGCCGTCCTAATCGTACGATCCCTAAGACTCGCCATGGCAGTCATGAAAGAGATTTCGCGTCTCGATCGTCATCCAGCCAACGTGAGCCGGCAACGTGAGCTTGCGTCTCAATGTCCAACCGTCACCGTCTGGAACTCTGCAGGCGCATGATATCGTCGCCATCAGAACTCCGCAGGCTCATGACATCGTCGCCATCAGAACTCCGCAGGCGCATGATATCTTCGCCATCAGAACTCCGCATCGGAATCGCCCTGGTCACCAACTCCATCAGACTTCTCCGCTTCGGTTTCGCCTTTCGCCGTGAACGCAGCTGTCGTCATCAGCGTGAAACCTCCCCGTCACCGTTGGAAGATCGTCACCGTCGAATCTCCATGAGACTCGGCACCAAGATCAGAAAACGTCAACCGTCACCATTAGAAGATTATCGTCACCCTCAGAACTCCCAGAAGTACCACTTTTCACCACCAGAAGACTTTGATCGTCACCGTTAGAGCTCCTCGTCGGAATATTCACCGTCAGAAATGTTCGATTGTCGCCTTCATCAATCTCGTCAACAGAACTCGCCGTCCAAAGAAACCGTCTCGTGTCACCGGTTCCGATGTAAGAAATTCTCGTCTTTCTCGCCGCGGTGCACATGAACGGCGTCAGTCTGAAAGAGGCAAAACAAAGAACCGGATTCACCTCATGAAACTTCACACGTCACGAACCGCATCCGACAGCCTTCTGCAGAAATTATTCAATACTAGGATCACCATGATGCTTCGGAAAACGACCTGATACTAGTGGCACCAGATCATTCACAAATACGATTGTGACTATGATTGCGATAACGGTATACGACAGGCACGTACTAGCGAGCCGTGGGAATTCACGGATATCGCTAGACCATGAAACTCAAATAGAGGTGCTCTGAATGGATAGAGAAACCACAAGAGATACTAAAACCTGGCTGAGATTATATTAAATTTTATACCTAGTCAATGGTTGGTAGCGGAACTTCAGGCGACAGCCATGGATTCTAAGATACCGAAGGAGACTATGTCTGAGCGAGAACTTATTAGGAATGACATTTAGCCAGTGGTTAGAGAAGTTCAGTGAAGCAGTTCAGGGGATTAAGAGAGATCCAGAGCGGTTTTCAGGGATTCACTGAAGCGAGAGGTGAGACTAATGGCTGAAGCAGGCATCCGCTCCCCATTCCCTGCTTTGGTGCAGGCCGCCGCACCGTCGGCGGACAGCCTCATTTTCGTGATTCGTGAACCAAGAGCCTCTGCCTTTCGCTTGGGGGATTCTTGATTAGCGAATGTTTGGGCAGGTTTCGTGAGCATAGTTACAGCATCTCCGCAGCGCGGGTGTATCATGGTTCCGCTTGTTTGCGCGGGAAACAGTTCCACATGTCTGACAGACGAGGAAATGACGGAGCGCCTTGTTTTCTGGTTTCCAATTCCTTTCGGCAGTGGTTTTGACACCACCCCGCTTCGCGCTCGCGTCCGATACCTTCTGGCCGATAATTTCGCTAATTCCCTTTCCGAGTCCTACCAGTCTTAATATTTTTTTATTTATGGGGATATTCCAAATCAAGCGTCGCTTTATTAACTAGCAGCGCGAAACAAAAAAATATTACCCCTCTTGGATGGCATGCCATTCGGGAGACATCAACCCTAAACAACATCAAAACCACTGCCGAAAGGAATTGGAAACCAGAAAACAGGGCGCTTGTCATTTCCTCCTGACAGTCGCTCATAGCTGTTCCATGCATGGAGTCGGGTCGGGTGATCTAACGGATGAGCTGAACTTCAATATTAGTGCAATACGTCTACACGAATAGGAAGCTTTTATAAACTGCGAAACACTTTAACTAAATGGATATCCTGAAAACGACACTGCTTGTAATAGCAACCAAGTGCTAAACACTCTTCTCCAAAAGAAGTGGGGGCAGAAGCCATTTGGCCTCTACTCACGATTTCGTTTGAAGTTTCAAAGGTTTTACTTCCCGCCCACCCATCCACACTTTACTAGTTGGATGAGTGCACTCATCCCATCTGAGCGTCACTACACTACACCACTACGCAAGCAACGGGCTCTCCCTCATACGAATATCACTTCTAGACGAGCACAGGGGTGTGCAGTCACATGCGCCACCACCTGAGACGAGTTCCGGAACCACGCCTCACCCCACAACGCCTCTCTCTGCGTCGAACCCGCCGGGTATATCCGATAGATCTTCAAAGCCCATGCCTTCTCATCCCCTCCGAGCGACGCCGGCCGCTTCCCCACCCAAACCGGCCGGTGCGTCTTTTTCTGAAAACTCCGTCTTATCGCTAACGTGAGTCCTCTAATAGTGAGGTGGTCACTGCGCAGGAACACTGACGTGAAGTGGAACGTCCCCCGTTCTCTCACATACAGGTGGTATACCACCAGCTTCTCCCCTTCTCGTTTCCCCGGCGCCTCGCACCGGCACGGGCGGCGGGTTTTCGCAGCATCCAGGTCCTTTCTCCGGATCCGGTCGGCGAGGAAGATACAGAGGCGGCAGGAGGAGTGAACAGCTGATAAGTCCATGTTGGCAATAAACGCCTGGGAAGGCCCGTCTTTCTTCCACGCGAGCATCTCATCATATGCTGTCTGGTTACCAGCGAGCGTAACCATCTGCTGTGCCACCCGTGGCACATCCTCCAAAGATTTGATTTCGAAATATGAGTTTGGGGAAGGGGCGAAATCGGCGATGTTGGGGGCGCCGATGACGACGGGGATAGAGCCGGCAACGAGGCACTGCCAGTACTTCTCGGTGACGTAGTCGGCTTCACAAGTGTTTTCAAAGGCGAGGGAGAAGAAGTGTTGAGCTAGTATGGGTAGCTTGTCGGTCTCGTATGGCATGTTGTTGAGACAACGGCCGTACGAATGCACCTCCATGTGCCGACTGAGCTCCTTCACTGCCTGGGATAATGGGAGGTGACAGAGAGTGAGAGGGAGTGAGGGAGAGTGAGAGAGAGTTAGCAAAGTGGGGGGTAAGGAAAGGCTGTGAGGCACTGCCAGTACGTCTCAGTGACGTAGCCGGCTTCGCAGGTGTTTTTCATCGCAAGGGAGAAGGAGTGCTGGGCCAGCACGGGCAGCTTGTCGGATACGTACGGCATGTTGTTGAGACAGCGCCCGTATGAGGGCACCTCCATGTGCCAACTCAACTCCTTTACTGCCTTGTAGAGGGAAGAGCGAGGGCGGCGGGGGAGGGTGCATAGGGGAGCAGAGCAAGGGCTGTGAGGTACCGCCGGAGCATTGTGGTGGCAGCTTGTCCGGTTCGTGCGGCATGTTGTTGAGACAGCGCCAGCACTTCCATGTGCCGACTTAGTTGCTGATGAATAGAGCAGCAGGAGAGGGGTGGAGAGAAGTGGAGGAGAGCGGTGGAAAGGGGTAGCGTGGGCTGCAAATGGCATCTCACCTCGAGCCTGGAACTGTTGGCGCATCAGTTACTGATAGATGCAGCAGCGAGAGCAGAAAGAGAGGGCAGTGAGTGGTGGAGAGCGGTTAAGAGGGGTAGAGTGGCATCTCACTTCGAGTCTGAAGCTGTTGGCATGGCAGTTGCTGATAAAGGCAGCAGCGAGAGCCGAGGAGGTCTTGTTGACAGGCGGGCGCATGACATCATACTCCTCCCACGACCCGTACTGCACTGGCACGTCCGAATCGTAGTGCACTGTCATCACCACCTGTTGGTGTCACAGGGGAGACGGGAAGAGAGACAAGAGAGCAGGAGAGAGCAGGACGGAAAGGGCTGAACTAGAGGGCGCATGACGTCATACTGCTCCCATGACCTGTGCTGTACTGGCACGTCTGAGTAGTAGTGCTCTGTCATCACCACCACCCAGCTCACTGCCTCCCCACCACACGCACCCCTCCCACCCACCCCTGCTCCCTCACACTCACTGCATTTTCCCTGTTCGCCTGCCCCACCACACTCACCACGCCCATCCCATGCGCCCCTCACTCTCACGCACCGCATGATCCTTGCGCGCCCATGCAGGGTTGTTGCTCGCATAGTACCCCTGCGACTCCATGAATCGCAGCACCGCACCCCACCACACCCCACCAGAGCCCAGCCAATCTCACCACACCCCTCTCGCTCACAGCATGATCCTTGTGCGCCCATGCAGGGTTGTTGCTCGCATAGTATCCCCGCGGCTCCATCGATCGCAGAACCGCCTTGTGCCGAGGCACGCCGCCCGCCAGGCTGGCATCCAGCTGCGCCGGGCGGCGCTTGCCGACCATCTCGCACGGCACGTCGCACGGGTACCTGCGGGGGGTCTGATGTGGGGGGGAGGTGAGGGGGGGAAGAGGGGGGTGGGGAAGAGGGGGAAGGGATGATAAGAGGGGGAAAGAGGGCACTTTCTGACCAGCTCACACAGCACGTCACACGGGTACCTGCGGGGGGTCTGATGTGGGGGAATAAGGGGGAGAGGGGGGGGATTGGGGGAAGGAGGATGGGTTGAGGGGGGGACCAGAAGGAAAAATGCTATCATGCTATCATGATATCATGCTATCATGATATCATGCAATCATGCTATCATGCGGACCACCCCCCTCCACTCATGGGTGGGTGGGTGGGTGGACGTACCTCATACGCCATCACTGCGATTGGCTGCTTCTCAAAGTCCCTCCCAAACGCCACGTCATCAGCCTCCTGCAGCCACGAGCGACACGTCAGCCCGTCAGGAGCGCCCTGCAGTGGGGACCACTCCGATGGCTCGTCCAATGGGGATTGCCAAACAGGCTCCCCCTCCCCTTCCCCCTCCTCCTCGTTCGCTTCCCCTCCCCCTCCCCCCCTGCCGCCTCCCCTGCCCTCACCTTCCCCCGCTCCCCCTTCCGCCATCCCCCCCTCGTCCATCCCCATGTCGTCTCCACTCCCCGTAAAGGACGTGTCCCCTCCCCCGCCCTCTCCCCCGCTATCTCTACCGCCCTCCCCGTCGGCCCTCCCCGCACCAGGCTTACCCTCCCCGCTCCCCCTATCCTCGTCTGCCTCCCCTTCCCCCCCCCTCCTCCGAGCGTCGTCCGTCCCCTCCCCCTCATTTACAATCACCTCCTGTCCGCTCTGCATCCCGTCCACCATCCAATCATCATCACCGCTTCTCAGCTCCATGCCTTTCCGCTCCACTTCCTCCCCTCCGCCACCCCCGCCTCCCCCCCTCTCCTCATCCACTATCAGGGGCCGAGTCGTCTGCGTCCCATCCACCATCCAATCATCGTCGCCGCTCCTAAACTCCACGCCCTTCCGCTCCGCCTCCTCCCCCCCGCCTCCCCCGCGCCCTGCGCTCTCCTCATCCACTATCAGGGGTCGAGTCGTCTTAGTCCCGTCCACCATCCAATCATCGTCGCCACTCCTGAACTCCACTCCTTTCCGAGTCTCTTCGCGCGGCTCCGAGTCATCCTTTGCGTCGATGCCGCCGCCAGCGAACTTCCGCACCCACTTGCGCTCGTGGCCCCCGTACATGGCGGCGTCATGCGAACCGTCGTAGGTCCGCGGTCCGCCGAGGTGAATCGAATCCACGTCGGCCTCCCGCTGCGCGCTTCCCCCGCCGCTCGCGCTGAACAGCTTCGTCAAATCGTGGCCGTTCGATTGGCCCTTGGCAGCCGTCGATGCGCTCTGCCGCTGCGCGTCAGATCGCGGAGAGAATTTAAGCTTCAGAATATAGAGACCTTGTGCGACGACGAGTAGCAGTAGCAAGCGGCCGCACAGCTGGCCGCCGCCGCCGCCTCGCCCTGGCGCGCCTCGGTGGTGCGACAGGGCGGATGTGCCTCTGTGCGCCTGTGCGACCGCACGATGGTGCTGCGACGACGGGCGATTGGATCGCGACATGTGTGCGACCACTGCGAGCAGCAAGGTGTTACAATTGAGCGGGTAGGCTCATTTTCAGACAGAATAGAGGACGTGGCATTTGGAATATTCGGGTTTGGTGGGCAAGGGAGGCGGGACAGAATCTAGGAATTCCCCCCGGGAGATTTTATGGAAGGCAGATGTGAGAAACCGTTTCTAGGTTGCCCATTTAGACAGTTCAGAACAATTTGAATGTACAAAAGCTACATGACAGACGGATAAGTACAGCCAAATAATAGTCATACCCCTCAACCCAATCCATATTACAAATATCCTACATACAAAACAATGGTAATCAACGAGAAGGCATGCATTACTCGTGACAAAAGTAGGCAATCCAATAGGAACTAACAAAGTGTCTGTATATTCATTTTAATGAATCAGCATTCTATTCTAGTGAATGGGGAAGAGATTACAAGGTATAGCTGCCTATCCTTGATAACTGGGACTGATTCAAGCCACCAACCATGGGTCATGATGCAGGGCAGCAGCCATGGGTCATGATGCTGTCATGACGAAGGCAACGGCCATGGTTGAGAACACCCAAGCACCAGCCATGGCACTTACACCTAGCCACTAAGCCCACCACTCCAGCGAACCAATCCAGAGCAACTGCCAGCTGTCCGTCGCGAAGCAATTACGAGCTAATCCTAGCTGCCCGACTTGGAGCTAACCCCAGGTACCTGACTTGGAGCAAATCCCAGCTGCCCGACGTGAAGCAAAACCCACCTGCTCAAGCTGCAGCCTCAACCTGAATGGAAGCCTCACTCTCACCGCTCTTGGCGGATTCCCTCTCCCCCAGCGCGGCCCTCAGCCTGCTCCGCAGCTCCCCACTCAGCCTCAGCGATTCCGCCACGCTCTCTGATTGCCACCCCTCTTCGATCTTGCTGGGCGTCGCGCTGGCGGAACCAGCGGACGCCGACTGCGCCACTCTTTCCGCCAGGGTTGCGCGGATTGCGCTCGCGCTGTCTCCCGCGCCTGCGCCTGCGGCTTCTTCGCTGCTGCGCGCGCGGGTCGCGCCTGACTCCGCGGGCCCCGGCAGCAGCCCCGCGCGCACAAGCAGCGCTTCCTTGGCGGCGTCGGTGAACAGCTTCGCCGCCGCGCCGCCGCGCCGTTCCGCCAGCTCGGCGCGCAGCTGTTGCGCGGGCGTCAGCGCCCGCAGGGGAGTCTGCTGCGCGCCGATGGATGACGTGGTGCTTGACGAAGGAGATACCCCCTGCCCGACGCACGAGGGGGAATTTTCTGAAAGGCTCACGACCCGCGAAGGGGAGGGGGCACGCGCAGATTGTGCGGATGTGGGGGTCCGGAGCGCGGAGGCGGAAGAGGCGGGGGAACAAGACACCCCGGCACGATGCGCGGAACGACGCACACGAGACAGCCGTGGAACAGAGGGGGGGCTTCCGCCATTGGAATCCGCGCTGGCGGCGGCGGGAGAAAGCGCGGAAGACCTTTGCGGGGAAGACACAAGCTCAGAGCCGGACCCCTCGTCGTCGACCGGCATTAGCCCCACGCTTGAGGCCTGCGACGCGGTAGACTCTTTCTGCGGCGATTGTGCGTTGGCCGGCGACTGGTTCTGCGACTGCGAGTTGGGCGACAGGAGAGTGAAGCCGTCGAGCCCCGCCTGCTTGAGAAGCGCGTCGCCCGAGTTGGCGGGGTCCGCCGGGGGGTTCGAGCGAGACCATGGCAACACCTCGCTGAATAGCCGCTGCCCCGATAGGAGATCCTGAATCAACGAGAACGCTCCGGCGGATGACGCGGCGCCGGAAGAAACGGAGGTGACGGAGGACGCGGGTTGCTGGTTCTCCGCGTTCGACGGCGAAGTTGGCGCTGGCGCCTTGGAGCCGAAAACTTCAGGAGAAGAAGGAGTGGCGGAGAGCGTAGGTTGCGTGACCGAGTCGTACATTTTGCGGATGGCAGGCGGCTCGTACGCGCGGATGCCGCGGCCGCTGATGAGACCCGCGTGCTCTCTGTCCTCTTGCTCGTGCATGTGGTGCAGCTGGAAGGATAGCTGCATATCCTCCTGCTTTATATTCTGGAACCGCTCCCTGATTATGGCGATATCTGCTTTAAATTCCGCGAGTTCCGCTTTTCGTCTGCGGCGGTCCGCGTCGCTGACGGTTAGGAGGGTCATTGGTGACGGCCTGGCTTGAATCGCTTCGATATCCATTAGGAGGCGAGACTAGGACGAGAAACTAGGACGAAGTCGTAGCGACCGGACTAGGAATTACCTGACCACAGGACTATGTAACGACAATGGGAAGATCAAAGAACATGGATAGCAGGTGTCTGGTTGGGCAAGGGCTGGGTTTGACTGGTGCAGAGAGAGCACCAAGGAGCAGCAGACAAGGTGAGGGGAGGAGAAATGACCGCGACAAGTGAAAAGACCATACGGAAAGTGGGTTTGGTTGGGTTAGGCTTGTTTTAGTTGGGTGGGGTGGAGTGGTGCGCTGCATAACACGAAAATTTGGGTCGTTGAGATTGGATTGGTGGGGAGGGAATATGAGAGAAGGTCACGAGGGGAGCACGAAGGGCGGCGCTGGAATGAAAGCGACTCGAGAGGTTGATGTGGGCGACTCGTGATCCGACGGCGACGTGTTCCGGATGAGCTGACATTGGATGGCTCGGATGGGACAACTGACGGGTAGAGGCGGGGTTGGCGGGAATGGGTGGCTAGACAAAAGCTGTATTCGATATGGTGTGTTTCGGCTTCGGTATACCTTTAGTAATATTATTATCTCTTTACCGTACTTCTTCGAACAGTACCAGTAAGGAGTGTACTTCACGAGGTTCATGTTGAACAGTCAATACCGAGCACGTGAGCTTCCCTGCGCTCCCAACTATTCGCGCCCCTTTCCGGCACATTCTGAGGGTGAGGGAGGGGTGTCGCACGCAGATACTGGCGGTTTAGAGGTGACGGACGGGTCGCCTATGTGACACTCGCGCTTTGTGGCTATTTGGCTTTTCGAGCGCAACAGCCTGTAAATAAGAATCCATTTTTTGTCTCTTAATCTTCTCGTCAAGGCACGCTGTTCGTGTCCTTCCCGCCCCATGGCACAAGCGCTGAAGCTGGTTCGCACCGCTCGGCGCGCTGCATCGCGCGCAGCTGACGCGGGCCCATCACCGCTTTCCGCCTTTTCCAATCCCCCGTCATCCCCGATATCTGCCTTCCGCAACACACCGCCCTCTCCGCTGATACTACCACTCCTTCCCCCGCCTTGCGCAGGCAGCCCCCTGCCCGCCAACCTATGCGCAGCCAGCGGAATAGAATTAGGCGCTTTCCGCACCCGGAATCCCCGCGCATTAGCCGCAGAGCATGCCTTTAGTGGCTTCCGCGCCCCCACTACCGCCTCGTTCGCCGCTGCGCCAGTTATCCCCGCCGCCACCCCACCACCCTCCGCTGCCCCTGCCGTTTCCGCCTTCCGCCACTTCCTTGCCGCGCCCGCGCCTTCCCCTTCACCATCCCTTCCGCCACCACCCGCCGTGCATTCCCGCGCAGCTGCGACCACAGGTGGGGGAGGAGTGCGCGTGAGGGGCATGAGCGGGGGGAGCGGGGGGAGCGGGGGAAGCATCTATGTGAGATCGACGCGGGAGCCAAGCGGATTGGCATCCGTGCCGCTGGTGCCGCTCGTTCTCGGTCTAGCTGGCGCCATCCCATTCGTCGCCCTCGCTCCGCCCATATGCTCCCTCGTTCCCCTCCCTGTCAGTACCCCTCCTCTCCTCCTCTCCTCCTCTCCACCTCTTCTCCTCACCTCTCCTGCATCCCCTCTCCTCCTCTCCTCCCTCGCCCCTATTCCTCTCCTCCCGTCGCAATCACTCAACTGCCATACATCCCCTTGGCCCCTAGACGCTTTCCCTCCCTTCCAACCCCCTCCCCCCCCATTCACCCTCCTTTCCCCTCTCATCCCCTCGCTGCGCCCCATCCCTCGCAGGAGCTGCTGGCAAGCCAGCCAGCAGCAGCGCAGGCAGCGTATGGGGCAGTCATTCTCGCCTTTCTGGGGGGGCCGCACTGGGGGCTCGCCATGGCGCGATACGCTGCCAGTCAGTGCTGCCGCCCCTTGCTTTCCTCCCCCTGCTGCCTGCCCTCCTCCCCCTGCTGCCTGCCCTCCTCCCCCTGCTGCCTGCCCTCCTCCCCCTGCTGCCTGCCCTCCTCCCCCTGCTGCCTGCCCTCCTCCCCCTGCTGCCTGCCCTCCTCCCTCTGCTGCCTGCCCTCCTCCCTCTGCTGCCTGCCCTCCTCCCTCTGCTGCCTGCCCTCCTCCCTCTGCTGCCTGCCCTCCTCCCCCTGCTGCCTGCCCTCCTCCCCCTGCTGCCTGCCCTCCTCCCCCTGCTGCCTGCCCTCCTCCCCCTGCTGCCTGCCCTCCTCCCTCTGCTGCCTGCCCTCCTCCCCCTGCTGCCTGCCCTCCTCCCCCTGCTGCCTGCCCTCCTCCCTCTGCTGCCTGCCCTCCTCCCTCTGCTGCCTGCCCTCCTCCCTCTGCTGCCTGCCCTCCTCCCTCTGCTGCCTGCCCTCCTCCCCCTGCTGCCTGCCCTCCTCCCCCTGCTGCCTGCCCTCCACCCCCTGCTGCCTCCCTTCTCCCCCCCGCCGGCCTTGCTGCACAGCCCTGTCGTTCGCTCATTGTTTTCCTTCTCTCTCCACCCTGCCCCCTGCCCTTCTTTCTCTCCTCCCCTGCCTTTACCCGTCTTTTATCTCCTCCCCTTCCTCTCCGCCCTGCTCCACCGTACACAGCAACATCTGAGGCGAGTCTAGGCAACTTCTCAGTCTCAGCTGCACGGTGAGTGCTGTGCGGTGCTGTGCGATTGAGTGAGTGAGTGCTGTGCGTGCATTATCATCCATCTCAGCCATTTGCCTCTCCATCTCTATTCCTAATCTCAGCCATCCATCGCTCTCCCCATATCCTCCCTCATCCCATGGCAGGAGTGTGGCGCCATCCGAGCTGCTGCTGCCAGACGACCTCAATTTTGCCCTCCTCCTCTCCTCCTTGTGCGCCCTCCGTCCATCCTTCTCCCCATACCCTCCCTCGTCGCACGGCAGGTACACATGGAGTGTGGCGCCGTCCCTGGCTGCATGGGTGGCGCTGCTGCTGCCAGACGGCTCCAAATTCGCCCTCCTCCTCTCCTCCTTCCTCCTGGTACGTCGTCCTTCCCACTCAAGGGTGAAGGGAGATCCGTGCAATCCTGTTTTACGCCATCCCCCTTCGCCCTTCTCCCTTCGCTCTTCTCCCTTCACCTCCACTCAATCCCCCTTCACCCTGAATCTTCTCTGCTAATTTCTGATCCATGCCTTCCTCCATATTGCAATCTCGATCTGCCGTCACAGAGTCAGTGTCTATGAGACGCTTTACCCAAGCATGGCATGACAGTGCAATCTGCATCTGCACATCCCAACTCGTCCTTTTTCGCTCTCTCCTGTGTGCGAGCAGGTGTTGGGTGCAGATACAGTCTTTGCCCGCATGGCATTAGTGCCTTCATGGTACGCTCCTTCCTGCCAATCCACATGCAACTTCATTTCCATCCCATGCTGCAATCATCCATGCTGAATGCTTCCATATGGCCGTCTCTGGCATCCAGCATAACATGCCCGTCTCTGTCATCTGCTCCCGCTCTAGATCATCCCCTGCCTGTCACCCCTGCCACCCCTGCCACCCCTGCAACCCCTGCCACCCCTGTCCCCCTGCCATTCCCACCAGGTATCTGCCTCTCCGAGTGCTGCTCTCCTCCGTTGCTCTCCTCAGCCTCGCCGCCACCGCATTCACCGTCGTAACTGGCACCGCCATCTCACAATCATCTCCGCAATCCACTGCCCACTCACAATCAACCCCTTCTGCCGCTCACTCAACTGCCGCGCCTTCGCCTACTGATCAGCAGCCCGTTCACTCCTCTCACCCCTCATCCACCCATCCTTCAACCTTTGAATCCTCTCCCTTAGCAAAGCAGTAACTTGCACCTGTAGTGTGTGGGCAGGATGGGCAGATCTCTCCTAGTGCAGAAGTAGCATCAAATGTTGCATGCACAGGATGCTGCGATCAGCTCATCCTCCAGTCAAAAACAGGAAGCACTTGCACACAACATTTCTGTTCAATCAAAACAATGAAGTTGGCATCATCCTGTCCTTGTATTCCGCTGCATCGTACTTCTCAATCAGCACAGACATACAAACATACCGTATGGTCTGTGTAGTCTCAAATGCCTACACCAAGCCAGACGTCCACAATACAGCTCTCTTTGCTTTTCAAGACTCATGTTCACCAAATGATGGTTGCGTGAGACATATAGTTTCAGCTGACTTTAGACTTGGAAGGGGCTTTCCGCTTCCTGGATGCGAGCTTGGCTGCCGAGCTGCGCATTCCGAGATAAACGAGTAGGGCTCCCACCAGAGAAAGATTCTGCAATGGTGGCACGAGGGAGAGGAAGAGCTGACTGGCATAAGAATCAAACATAGGCCTGATTCGATTGCTGAGGGAGCAGAACAAGAGAAGACAGCTTGGCTGCAGATGTGCTTGCCAGGTAAACAGCAGGGCTCGGAACCGACATAGGTTCTGCACGGCACAGACATCATGGATGCAACCTATGGAACGAGCCCTGCATATTCGTTGTAGTTAGAATGCTTAAGGATCCGAGTAGGAAAAAAGGGCGAAAACGGAGGGGAGGAGGGGTCAGATGAATCAAGGGGGGGTAAGGGTTTAGCATGGTAAAAAAAAAAAAAAACATGAGAAGTTTACCTTAAGGAACTGGATGAACTCGTGGATGTATTCCGCACTTTCAGGCTTGAAGTTGTAGAAGTCATGCATGATGGGCGTCACTGCCACGAGGAAGAGCAGCTGGCGGTGACACAGCAGGGAATTCAAATGGGTGAACAGAACATATTGATGGGAATGGCAAGATAGACAAGTCTGATAAGCAAGGGCGTGAGAAGAATATGTCGAGCTAGACAAGTGTGTAGAGGCAAATGGAATATGTAGTGAAAACGATTGTGTACTGCTACAACGAATATGTAGTGGTAAGACAGCGCTAGGACGAATCCTGGCTGGCTCGACAAATTATGGCAACTGATGGTAGGACGCATCAGGAAGTAAGTGTGTCGCATGACATTGTAACAAGGTGACATTTGAGCCGCCGAAAAGGGACGTACCAGGAAGTATGCACCCAAGCTGCTTCCAATCGTAAATAGAATGCCACCCACTCCTTCCAGCACAATCGCTGTCAAGAGAAGAATCTTGGGCTGCAACCATAAGCGGTAAGTGATGGATAGAAACATGGAAACTAAAATTCCAGTAAGCGACCACTTCCAAGAACACGAACGCTACGGAAAGGCGCAGAGACTAACGGACATCACGAGGTCGGCAAAGAGTGAAGCTTTGTGAAACTCACGTCAACATGCGGAACAGAGAGACCTAACGAATCCTTCAAGTGATTTTGAAACGTCTCCAGCTTCGGAGTCATGTTCTTCAACGCGGGTCCGCCATCGGGACCGAAGTCATTGAACCTGCGTCAACGCGGATCGGCATTCAGTATCGGTGGTATTTTTCACCATGGTTCAACAAAACTCGCGCGGGCTTGTGCGAAGAAAAATACATCAGAATTCGATGCAAGTTCCCACTTTTGCCATGCTGCGAGGATGAAAATGGCGGAAAAGAAGACTCTCCCGATGAAGGACGCGAATCCCATGGCTGGGACTCTCGAATCGTAGCTTAAACTCGTGAAACTTCTTCCAGAAACCAGAATCGCGCGATTCCGAGTATGTGGGATAAGTGAGCCCGATGACGATTAATCTGAATCCCTAAATGGCGTGTGTTTCGCCGCCAGGTCTGCGCTACACCCGCTTGCACAGTACTGGCATTTGGAAAGAAGTCCTTCGACCTATTGGGCTCCAAGGAGCCAGCAGTGTGCGAACATTTCATACGACAAAAAGAATCCGTTATTTCTAAACTTGTGAAATTGCAATCTGGAAAATAGAAACAAATCAAATCAGTATTTCTCACACATTGAGATGCACACAAACTATTAACACTGACACACTTGGGCACACTTGGGAGCCGCGAAAAAGCCTGCGGCTGTAAACTGAGGCACACAGAGAGCACGATCACACAACTCACTAAACACACATGCTAATGGCCTCCCTAGAGCCACAAACCTATGCACACAAAAAGTACAACAAACCAAAAGCGTTAGGCAAACCAAAAGGGATTAAAAGAAAAGCGAGGCAACACTCGGGATCGGGCTCTTTGCCCTGATGTGAACGCAAGACGCTAACAGACGCATGTGCAGCCGCACATGGCAAGCCTGTGAGGGAAGGCAGCTCAGCAGCTGAGGCTCCAAGCCGCCGTTTGTATGCATGAACTCATGAAACAACGTACGAGTCATACGGTATGGCACCAGAAAAGGGTCCCCATGAGAACATGATGGCGCGAGAGTCTTGCGACAAGAAAAAAGAGGCGAGTGGAGAAGAGTGAATCTACGGCCGGGCGGCGATCTGCCCGCGACTCGCGCCTGAAGCCATGCCAGCAAGCCCTGCAGGCATGCCAGCAGCAGCCGAAAGCTGGTGGTGATACTGCTGCTGCTGCTGCTGTAGGTGCTGTTGCTGCTGCAGATGCTGTTGTTGCTGCTGGAGGTGTTGTTGCTGGTGCTGCATTTGCTGCTGTTGTTGCTGCTGCTGATGATGATGTTGCTGGTGCTGCTGGGTTTCATACTGTTGCTGTTGCTCCTGGTGTTGCGAGGCTGCAACTGCTTGTAACGAGGACGCCATTGATGCGGACAGAGTGATATCAGACGACGGGGACAGCGAAACCTCTCCTTCCGCCCCGAGCAAAGTGCTGCCCCCGCCCCCTCCGCCCAGCAATCCTCCGCCCATGTGTAGCTCCCCCAGGGGCCCCATTATCCCGCCCATGTTTCCCCCTGCAGCAGCCGAGCCCGCGCCATGGGGTAGGGAATGGAATCCGGGGAGAAGCATCATTGCCCCGCCCATTCCGCCGCCCACAACGCCGGCCATACCACCGCCCACTCCACCCCCACTTGAGGCAGCCGCGGCTGCCGCGGCGGCGGCGGACATGGGGTCACCCCCGCTCCCCAACATCCCCATCATGCACGCGCTGCTTCCGCCCGTCGTTCCCGCCAGCAGCATTCCCCCCCCGTGCGGATCCATCTTCATGTCCACACCCGCGCTCATCGCTGTGCCCCCGCCCATGCTTGCGCTCAAGCCTGCGCCCATGCCCGCGCCCATGCCCGCGCTCATTCCGCCCGGCCCCATGCTCATCGCAAACGCGCCCATTCCGCCAGCCGCAGCGGCGGAGGAAGTGCCTGGCGGATGCGGCATCAGCGCAAGCATGCCGTGCGGAAGGTGCATCGCGGGGAACGACCCGGGGAGGCCGAACCCGTTCATTCCCGCCATCATGCCGCCGCCGTACATGCCTCCGCCACCCAGCCCCACGCCCGCCATGCCTCCGCCGGTTCCCCCCACCGCGCCGCTGGCGGAAGCTGCAGCGGATGCGGGAACGGAAGGCGGGGAGGAGCGGGGGAGCAGCGAGGGGCTGCCGGTGGAGGGCGGAGAGCCGACGAGCGGAGCGGACGCGCAAGCCTCCCGCGGAGACATGGGCGAAACAGATGCGGTTCCGCCTGACGGCGTTGCGGCGAGCTGGGGAAGCGCGTGCGGGTGCGCGGAATGAGTTAGGTGCGCGGCAGGATGTTGCAGATGCGCCAGCTGCGCAGGCGATTGCGGCGCCAGCTGCGGCGCCAGCTGCGTCGCCTGCTGTGTCGGGTACATGGCGAGCGAGCCGGCGGCGATGGCAGCCGCCGTGCGACTGTGCAGCGACGAGTGGCGAGTGGGCGGCTGCGACCCCTGGCCACGGGAGAAAGAGAGCAGGGGCATGAGTAGGGGGAAAAACGGAAGATTAGAGGGTAAAGAAGGGAACGATAGTAGGTAAAGAGACATTGGTAACACGAGCGGGTCAACACGACGCGACCAGGCAAGCGCCTGAGTAACAAATGGCTGGGGAAGGATAGCGATGGAGGAGCCAGGAACGGCTGCACGTGCGAAGCCGAGGGGCGAGAAAAGGGGCATGAAAGCGCGCGAGAGACGGGCATGAAAGCTGCCGTTAAGAAACAACCATTGGGGGGATGCTGCTATGTAAAGCGCCGCGGAAGTACGCGGAACGCCGGGTGCAAAACGGTGTGGCAAGCGGAGGCGGAAGGAAAAAGAGAGCGCGGCTCGTACGGGGGAGCGGTAGGTGGTTCCGTCGGACTCGACGACCCAGCCGGCTTCCGCGGCGAGCGCTCGCAGAACGTCGTTGATATCCGCCCTCGGCGGAAGGTTGTATCCGCCGTACTTGCGCAGGCCGGCAAAGATCTTCGTGGTTATGGCGCGCCGCTGCCGCTCGCGCAGCTTCGTCTTCTCCTTCTCGCTCTCCGTCAGCCGCGACGCGTCGCCGCCGTGCCCCCCCTCGCGCTTACACATGGCGGCCGAGGACGGCGACAGGTCCGCTGACGGCTTCATCCACCGGGAAGCGCGCGGCGGCGAGATGGGAGCAACTGAGTTTGGAGACTCGAGCGACCAAGCGAACGTGCTGCAGTGTGCAGCGTTCTGGATACTGCTCGGTGCCCTGGTTGCGAGACTCGAGCGATCTATGGCTTCCAGCTCGTGCTGGCTACTGTTTGAATCGACTAGCGATTAAGTAGCCTGCTGATAAGCTGCTGAACGCAACGCGCATAACCGTTGGGCTGAAGGCAGGCTTAGAAGCGACTAATGACACGACCAGACGAGAACACCAGGGACAGGCGTTTGCCAGAGAGGAATCCTGTGTTACCTTGCAATCCTGGTTTTCCCTCGTGTGGCAAGTTGAATGTGGAAAGTGAGCCAAGATGTTTTGGTTGCAGCACCTTTTGCAAGAGAGATTGAGAATCGTGTGATGGAGAAAGGGCACGGGAGGAAGCGAGGGCGGGAGGCCATGGTGGCGTGACTGACGGCTGCAATAGTGGCGGGGCATGGAGGAAGAGAGAGGGGGACGAATGCAAAAGACCAGGCAAAGCCACCCACTCAGCTAATGCCCAACTCATGCCAGAATGAACAGCCCAACCCATCCCAACCGTTTCCAAACCATCCCAAACAGTTTGATTCCCCAACCACCCTGCGATGGGTTTCCCCAAACCACGCTCGGTGAGTTCGTTCCCCCAGCCCAGACAGACCTGACCTGGCGGAGATGGTACAGTAGGAGTGACTGCCATGCCACGACTTGATCGAGAGCCGTTGATACGCGGAGCAGCATTATGGGGAACAGTGGCGGAGATTCTTCCACAGCACCTCATTCACGGGTTGGACAAGTGGGGGAAGAGTGTTGGGGGGGGAGACGGGGGAGAGCTGGTGTTGGATGCCGCGCTGCGCGTCGAAAGGCAGAGGGGGGACGGGGTGCGGGTTGGGAACAGGCCTGTCGATTGACGGGCATATGCCCTTAATTCCCTGAAATTCCGGGCTACTTTCGCTCCAGCTCGACTGCATAAAGTGTTAGGATCGCCCTGCACCCGTGCCACTAAGTGCTTCGTTCGACCCTTCCCCGGATGCGTTAAGTGCTCCAATCAGGCCTTCCCCACCCAAAAGGTTTTGATTTCCGGTTCTAGGACCCCCCCCCCGAAGAAATTATGCCTCACCCCCCCCCACTCCTCCCCCCTTTCTCCTTAGGTTGCACGAGAGCGAGCCAAGGGAATTTTTTCCCTTAGCGTTTTCTAGCCAATCCCGTGTTTGTGATATCTCAAAGTTAGCTTTGGAGCAGCAGAACTTTCCCTTAGCTAAGATAGTGTAAGTGCAAGCCCGGATATCAAGTTTTCACTTTGGCTTGCGCCCGTGACCGTTAAGGGCGCCAAAACACTCAGCTACGGCCAAAACAGGGTCAGATAGGGAGGAGCTGGGGACTTCAAGTAGGGGCCCCAGGAACTTCGACAGGCCTGGTTGGGAAAGTCGTCTGAGCAGGTTGGGGGGAAGGGAGGGTGGAGCAGAGGAGGATTTGGCGAGGAGGAACAGTTGGGGGGAAACTGGGGGGGATTGTGGAGAAAGTCGGAAAACATGCGCGCATGCGCGCTCCCATTTTGACGACGAGTGAAGCACGACCACACCTTATCCGAAAATCTTCCCGAGGTGGCTCGCCGAATGACAGGGAGACAAGTTGATGATGACGTTCGGCGAGAATTTCACAATACAGCTCATACAAATGCTCAAGCAACAGTGTGGATTGGGAATCAAAATATGTTGACTAAAACAGGATGCAAGGACGAGGAAAACCCTACAGTGAGAAAAAAATCAAAATCTCCTCGAGCACCACTTACTGGCAAAACGTTTTGCTGTTGAACAAACCAGCAATCGCAATGATTGAATCGACAAAGGACTCGCACGTGATTGAACTCGTTGGAGAGGAACGTGATTCGTTCATGGAGCCATATGACGCTGGAATTGACCTGGCAACGGCAGACGATGAGTCATTCTCTGATTCATCGGAGATCGGAAATCCTCTTCCCGAGTCTTTAGTAGGCGGACTTGCGACTCCATATAGCGCAGGTATAGTAATATAGTAAATTACCAAAGAAACGTAGAAGCGTGATCACAACAGCACCTTGTGATAATTAAACTGATATTTGGCTATTGTGAACCTGGGATGCTGATCATTAGACTTGGTATGTACCCAAATACACAAATTCTTATCATCCCGATAAATTAATACCTAAATGAAATACACAAATGCTTATGAGTTCAATGACTTGGTAATTAGAGCTGCAGAGTAATACCACTTGTCTAAACTGCAGTTCTGGTACTGACTCATCAGCTTTTGGAGATAATTATATAATTACCACAATTGGGCATATCACAGCCATTCAATGAGCCTTCTGCTTTATGAATAAATCAAATTGGATTTGAGCCCCGATCCCCTGTACCACGCCCTAACGGCATTCCGTATCCTGGCCCCTTTGACATTCATCTTACTCCAAAGCCCAACAAACGTGAACCCATGGTCGGACGTCCCAGGCAGAAACGCCGCCGATTGTGGATGGCCTTTCACGTACTCTTCCACAGTATCCAGCACATTTACCGCAACAGACAGCACCGAATCCCTCTCAGCATCCGTGCAGTGCTGCATCGGCTTCTGGGCAACCGGAATCACGCTCCTCATGTGGTCGCTCTGGAGCTGGCTGACTGTGATTGGCTGCGCGAGCAGCTCCGACAGGCAAGTGTCAGCGTAGGTGAAATCGAGCGGCATCTGGTTGCCGATGACGGCTGCGTGGCGGTCGAAGAGTGAGTTGGCGATGAAGACAGGGCGCGAGACGAAGCGCAGGGAGTATTGAGGGAAGAAGCAGCGCCACTGCGTGCTGGAGTTGTACTCTGGATGAAAGGTGATGGGAGGGTGGGAGAGGATGGTTTGACAGGATTTAGCAGGATGAGTAGTGTGGGAGAAGTGCTCTGGATGGGTGGTGGGGGCAGGGGTTTTAGAAGGGGGGAAAGGGACGATGAAGTGAAGAGGGAGTTGGCGATGAAGACAGGGCAGGAGACGAAGCGGAGAGAGTACTGCAGGAAGAAGCAGCGCCACTGCGTGCTCATAGTACAACTCTGAATTGTACTCTGGATTGGGGAGGGGAGAGGGAGGGAGAGAGGTATAACAGGAATTAGAAATATAGGATGAGTGCTGGCGTTGTGCCCTGGATGGAAGGGGTGGGGAGATAATGGAGGATGGTTGAACAGGATATAGTAATGCAGGATGAGTGCTTGAGTTGTGCTCTGGGTTAAAAGGGTGCGGGAGAGCTAGAGGATGGATTTACAGGATGAGTGTGCACTGGATGGGGGCGGGGGAGAAGGGTGGAGAGAGGATGATGCAAAGTGAATAAGTAATGGAGGGAGTTGGGGAGTTGGAGTCTGCTGGTTGAGGGTTGCTGGGTTGGGTAGGATTGGGAAGGAATGTGGGGGAGGGGAGGGGAATGTGTGTGTGGGGGAGGGGAATGTGTTTGTGGGAGGGGGAGTTGGAGAAATTGGAAAAAACACTCCACGCAATGAGCGGTGCATCAACAGCAGCTGCTTCTGCGCCAGCAGGGTTGGTAACAGCATAAGTGTTTTGCAAGCCATGATGCGGGGGAAGTGGCCAGAGGGGAAGGAACAGAGGAAATAAGAAGCATGTGGAAAAGACCAAGCAGAAAGGAAAATGGAGAAACAGGAAGGAAGCTTGAAACAGGAAACAAGCGCTCACCAGCACTGCAGCGGTCGCTCCCCTGGAATTGGTGTATCGCCACCAGCTTCTGCGCCACTGACCGGAACCTCCGCCCGCCCTTGCGGTCGCGCGCGTCTGTAAGCGCCCATGGGGAGCGGGAGGAGGAGGGGGAGGGGGGGTGAGACGAGGGATGGTAGATGGTGGTGTGGGGGGTTGCCGGAGGGGTGTGGAGGAGGGGGGGGGGAACGGGGAGGGAATGCGGGTGAAGCTGAAGGGGAATGCAATGACGGGGTGTGGGGCAGGGTGAGGACGAGTGAAAACGCGTGATACATTCACAGAGGGAGCTTTCAATGTGTGCAGAACCTTTTGCTTACCCATGAGGCCGGCACCTGGTGGTGGCGCCCGTTTTGCTTCGACTCAAAACTCGTCTCATTTCACGCGGATCACATGTGGAGAAGTGGTTTGTTGCATGGCTTACCGACAAACACGCCCGAGTCCATGAGGCACTTGGTGCTGGCGCCCGGCAGCTGCGCCGCGATAAAGTCACAAAAGGTCGTCACTGCCTGCGCGCCCGCCGATGCTCCCGATATAAGCACCTCAGAAGCTGACGACATGCCACGTGTCGCCAGGACATCTATCAGTTCGACGGACGCCAGGAACCGAAGAGGGGGCAATGGAAGGGCGTGGAAACGGAAAGGAGGCGCGGGGGGGAAGTAAAGGCGGAGAAGTGAGAATGAGGGATGAAGCAGCGAGACCACCATATTTTCTTCGTTATTCCATCCCTATCCCTGGCATAAAGAAAAACTCTAGCCCACTCGCGGCACACCTGATGAATCCAGTACACATGCGTAGAATGCAAACAAAAACACACAAATTTCGGATCCTCACCTCTAAGAATCGCACGGAGAACCTTTCTCCCGTCCAGGTACAGCGACGGACCGCCCTGCACCGATCTCAACCCCGCCTTCCCTTGGAACCCCCCGCCGTCGCAATACACGGGCATGACATAATTCCAGTTAAAGAACAGCGGATTGGTCTTGGCCAGCGGGCTCATCATGCCTTTGCTCAGAAACTTGGACCACCGCCAGTTCTTGTCCGCCTGCATGCGCGTGCTCCCCAGCGGCGTCTTCGCGCGGTCCGCGCAGTCCTCCATTGTCGCGCACCACCCCCCGATGGGCAGGTGGATGTGCCATGACTTGGCCCCGCTGCCGCTGCCCGGCCGGAAGTAGTAACCTGGGGGACTGCGGGGCGGATCGCGGAATGGGGAGGGGAAGGGGCGCGGGGATTAGAGAGAGAGGAAGGAGTGGGTAAGGAGGTTCGGAGTTGTTCCTTTACATACCATTCAACTCACTTGTACAGGACACGCACCCTTTCCGTCTTTTTAGCAGAAAGGCCACTCAATGGTGTACAAACAACATACGAGCCTGGGCTTTATGAAAGCGCGCCGACCAAGCACTGCCGCGCGGAGCTCGTAGTTAAGATCTAAACCGCAGGCTTGTGTTCTCAACGCCTAGCTGGATTGATTTCCATCACATATCGACTCATCGCGCGCGGCTGGTAGAGTGAAGGCCTCTAACCATCGGACGGTTCTTGATCGCTCTCTAGACGTACCTGCCGTCGAGGCATTTCGCGCCGAGGTCATTATTGGGCAAGAGGTAGAGATTCGTGTTGGGAACTCCCGACGGGATCGGACCCGTCGACGACGCACTCGCCGACGCGGTGGCTGCTGATACCTGCGCTAGAAGCGCCACGGCTAAACACACTGCCGCTGCTGTTGCTGCTGCTGCTGCTGCTGCCATTTCCTAACGTCTACGTGATAGAGTTCAATGGTTTTCCTAGAGTCTACAAGGTCTTGAAGGAATGCAAGGGATCGAAAGCGTGTCCTAGCGGAGAGCTTGCTGTGGCCTAAGCAGCTTTGCCTAAAGGGGTAATTACCACGTTCACATAGAGCGTGACCTCACCAAGCAGCCCATGGCCTTTCGACGGCCTCGTACCGCACGACAAGAGCGTCTGTTAATGAGATCTAAACGAACGCGGATACCGAAGGATTGTGACAACATATGAAAGTGATATTGCCGAAGGATCGACCTATGTATGTCCTCCTCAATCAACTGCCAAAAGGTCGTCGGTGGGGAGGGCGAGGTGGGGGGACATGGCCAATAGGAGTAGGAAGAGCTATGTGTGGTGCCGAATAATCCTGATAAGAATGTGCCATGCGGGAGAGAGGTGAACTTCAGGCACGCGCCCAGCCTCTCTGCTTGGGGTGATTGACCAGCATCGCGTTCCCCCCAGGCATGGATGACCGCCTAGTGTGTTTCTCGGGCAGTACGCCTATTTCCCCTATAAAACGTTGTACATCAGGCCTTCTTATCAACTCACGAATTGAGTTACCTTCGTTCCCACTAATCGTGTCCAATTGCATTCGAGGAATCATTCTGGACTTCCAGAATGCGAAAGACAGGTCATCTGGACCAGAAAATATATATGAAGGTTTTCCAGGTATGCAAACGTCAAGAATGTCCGTGCCTGGGAAAGCTAGGTCTGGTATACCGAGCGAGTGAGCGACACGCGCAGGATGAACGCGTTTCAATGAGCCGCGTACTATATGCTGTGTCGCTCGCCTCAATGCGTGAAACAAACTCGCCAAACGATCAATTATCTCGCTTGCATTCGCATCGAATCGTCAATTATCTCGCCGTTCGCTTTGCTGAAATTGACATCTCCAAGGTTACACCGATTCGCTGCTTTCGTTAGTCTTCGAGCTTTCAGGGACCCAGCTCATTCAGAACAGAATTGAGACTCGTACCCGCGGCTCGAGACATGAATTTGAATTGCGACTCGCGTTGAACTTCGAAAGAAGTGGCGCACTGCCCGGCACCCAACCAGGTTCAAAGAGTGCCGTGGTTCCTCGGCATTCCCGCGGTCCGCTTTGCAAGGCGGGAACTGAATTCGCGCGATGAAACCCCGACTCCATTCAAGACGGAATTAACCTCGTTAACAAGCTTGTATGAGGCATTATGAAAATGAGCTCATAAAAACATGTAAGCCTACAAAACCCTTATTATCTGTATAAAAACATGCGCTCGACAACAAGCACTAGAGTTTGCAAACACAAGCTCCATTTCCAACTCAAAAGTAGAGCTTTCCCCCCCAAATTTTTCCCTTGAACCAGCCAACAACGGCATCCTTCATGTATGTGCTATTATGTGGGGGGCTAAACCACTGAGACGTAGTGGTTACGCAATGACCCACGCAATCAGTCGCTAGGAATGCCAGTACATTCTTCTCATTTGCCACCAAGCTCTTCAGCTTTACGAACAAATCTGACACAGTTGACTGTATTGTAATGCGGGAAGTAGAATCACACTCCCCCGGCTTCGCATTGAAGGGCTTCCATTGGTTGGAAACCACAGCCTTTTGCAAGTCCTTCTGCTCCCATATAATTTGTCGAAGGCACCTGTTGTTGACTTGGAATGTTGTATTCCTCAGCTGGTTATACAGCTGAAGGGCGGTGTAGTCAAATAGAGCGTTGGTGATAAACAACGGCCTTGAGACTGTCTTTAGCGAGTATTCTGGAAGCAGACACTTCCATGGTTCCGTACCTGTAAGTTCAAACACAGTCAAAACAGAAAAAACGGGATTTAGTAAATATAATCGCAATTTGCTATGTAAGGTTCTGTAACAGTTGGTGCTTACCTTGGCTGCATTTGCTGTTGGCGAATTTATGCAGAGAAGCAACACTCTGTACTGTTGACCTGAAAGTGAAACCGTTTTGCCGGTCCTTTGCGTCTGTATGAAGAGAACAAGGCGGGGGAGATGGAGAAGCAGGCTGGGGCTGAACAAGACGAAGGCGGCCAAGAAGGGTCCAATGCGCTCATATGAATGGAAAGATATGAATGGAACGATAATGATAAATCCACAGCCCATCAAACAGTTGCTGCTGTCTCTCTGTCAAGGAGTGGTGGCCATGGACAAACTGCCATCTGCATACAGCAGCAGCTTCTAGCAAATCCTGTACTGCGCTGCCCTCTTACAACGAGATGATGATATTATTTTGAGATGCCTCAAACAAATTCGTTATCACGTGAAACGCCTTGTTGTTGGCGAACTTGACCTTGGTCCTAGGATTTGAGCTCTTACCTAGAAAGAACGCTCCATCATTGAGGCACTTGATGCTGGACATGTGATTTAAGATGTCCCTTTACGGCCATGTGCTCTCCTCTCCTCTCACCAAGGAATAAGGCTCCATCAATGAGGCACTTGACGTTGGCCATGGGATGCGCGGCGGCCACGGAGTCGCAGATGCGCGTGACTGGGAATCCGCCCGCAGAGCAGCCTGAGATGAGGATCCGCGGCGCCCCCGCCATGCCGTTCTGCGTCCCGTTGAGATCTGCGCGTGGGAGAAGGGAGAAGGGAGAGGGGAGAGGGGAGGAAAGAGAGGGAAGAAGGGAGAAGGGAGAAGGGAGAAGGGAGAAGGGAGCAAGGGAGATGGTAAATGGGAGAAGAGAAGATATTGGTGAGAGAGAAGAAGAGAGAGTTGGAGGATACGGAGAGGGATCCATAGAGATGGAGAGAGGCGGAGAAGGACCTTTGTGGGAAGAAAAGGGTGCTGGATTTACGGCAGACAGGGAATCGTCATCTGGCATTCACCACAGCAACGATACACGGGGCAAGCACGTTGGCTCGTACCCGTTACTTTAGTAACAAGCACGCTCAGCACCCCACACGCAGCTATGCTGGAGTTTTGAGTCGACTCAGAAGTCTACGCGGGGCAAGCATGTTGAGTCGTACCCACTATATTAGTGACTAGCACGCTGAGCGCCCCACCCGCAGCTATGTTGGATCTTACCCGCCAAATCACCGGCAAGCACGCAGCACGCTTACCACTTAGCACGGCTTTAACGATCGCGTCGCCTTGCATGAACAGCGTCGCGCCTTTCCCGTTGCCCTTCACTGTGACCTTCCCTGCGGTACCCGCGTAGCCCCCGCCGTCGCAATACGCGAGGAGCGCGAGATTCCAGTTGTAAAAGAGCTTGTTTTCCGGCTGACGGGCAGATAAAATTCCCGTCAGCTGCTCTCCCACCCATGATCCCTGGATGAACGAGGGGAGAGATTTTGTGAGACGGTGCCGCATTACGTCTGGCTAATATGAGCCCCTCGTTTCATTCAAGGACACGTGAAATTTGAGATTTCAACAAGCGCCAAGCTAAGTTCTTTGCGCCCGTTCTAGTATGCGCGGTCTCAGTTGCTGTCGCTCTGTCGCGCGTCAGTCCCGCTCACCTGCGACGATTGCGGCATGTACTTCGTCGATCCTAGAAACGTCGTCGCACGCGCTGCACACTCGTCGCGCGTCGCACACCATCCGCCGCCAGGGAAGTGGATGTGCCACGACTTGGCTCCATTGCCGTAGCCCACTCGGCGGTAGTACCCAGGCGGACTGCGGGGAGGACGTGGCGGAAGGGGAAACCGCGACAATATACTCGGTTGTTCAGCAACCGAAAAGGGAAATGATCGAGACCATCCATGTGACGGTGGCACCCGGGCGGGCTGAGGAGAGGCGCGCGACAGTTGCAAGGGGAAACGCGACAGCGAAACGAATCGCTGCCGAAAGGTTTCATTACTGGGCTCCTAATAGCTATAGAGACGACCGAGCAAAAAAAGAAAGAAAGAAAAAATCCGAACCTGCCGTCGAGGCATTTCGCGCCGAACGAGTTGTTACGCAGCAGAACGAGCCTCGCGATCCCGTCATTGCCTTGGACCCCGCCGACGTTCGCGCTCGCCTTGACCTTGCTTGTTGAACTCCCCTTTGCACCGCTCGCCTTACCGGTGCTCTTTCCGCTGCCTTTCGCGCCACCTTGAGAACTAGTACTGCTAGTAACTTCCGCGAAACTCATCAGTACGAGGGCGAGAGCCATGCACAAGCACAATTCCAACAGTGGTCGCCTTCGCGCCAATCGTTCTCGTGCCACCCTCCGTCTCTCGATCCCTTGACGCGGTCGCATCTTGCCTCTCCGCGACTCTTCGAACCGCTCCTTGCCCCTCCACGCCCCTCACAGCCCTTCCTCGCCCCTCCTACTAGCCCCTCCTCGCCCCTTCCTTTCGGCTTACCACCTTCTCAATGCTCCCCGATATGTCGACGAACGGGTTGCAGGGAGAGGCAAGCGCAACCTACTTTGAGAAATTACGGAAACCAAAATCCATTCCACTGCGCAACCGACAAGGAAAACTGCTAGCTGCACAGAGCCTGCACCCAGACGCTCCTAAAAAACCTGGGTTGTCAAACACTGGCTTCTCACTCATCCCTATGAAGTCGACGGCTTGTCATCATGCCGTTCTTGCAAGATTGCGCACGAGTCCGAGTGCGTTCTAAGTAAGTACAACTGCCTCCAGCACCAGCCGACCCCAGAATGGTCTGGTTTCTTGTGCTGCGGCCCGCTACCCAGTGATACGTTCAAGCAGCCTTCTGCTGGAGACTTCAGCAGCCTAACAACCGACATGGCGCCCAGCGCCCAGCGCCCAGCGCCCAGCCCTGGGCGCCGACTGTCTGTGGCAGTGCGTGGATTGGGCGATTCGATTGAGAGAGGAAAGAGGGGCTGAATTGCCGTCGTCGGATTACGGGTTGATGTGGGACGTTCGAGCACGAACTACCGTGTCGTGGATTTTGCTCGAACGCGCTGCGGTTGATTTGTGGCTGGAAGGGATGGGTTGAATTGTTTGACGCATCTAATGCTGACGTGGTTCTCTACCAATTGCGAAACGTGAGTTATCGAGCCAACCCCACCGAGATACAAAGCGAACGCCCAGGGCTGGGTCGTCGTGAACATTGACCGTCGATGCCTTCCAAATTTGCGGATACTGCAGCCAGGCAACCCCCCTCCCGCAGGGAGGCATCTTGTACGCGACTTGGGAAATTGGCGACTATCGCGGAGCGAAGGAGGAAGTGTTGTGATGACGTGGCGTCGCACAATTCGCGAGATCACCAATGTTGCGACTCCAACAAACCAGTCAAATCTCTCATCATGACATTGATTGACTTGCGCTGCACTAAGGATCAGGTGTAGAAAATGACAAAGTGCATATGGAGCTCGACCACAACAGCAACAATGACAATTATTTCAGCAACACCAGCAACATGTAAAATATACATCATGGATGACATCGTTCCCTCCCAGCAACCACTATCTCTCGTTTCCAAAAGCTAACGTTATACAATTGTTGCATCATTAATATCTTGGGCCACCCATCGAGCTACAGCTACCTGGATCGAAGTCTTGAAACTTCTCACAAAACCCCATCGCCAAGAAGTTAAAGTCTTGTGCGCTACAAGCCGAAGTGGCACGAAGGCACCAAACCCTTTCTTGAACCTCAATAAATGGACTATGCTATTGAACACTGCCACGGCTGTACTCTCTGCTGCACTGCACTCACTTTGTGTGCACCAACCTTCAGGACCCTCTGACGGTGGTATAAACAAGTGTGATTGTAATGAAGCCAACATATTTGATTGTGACCTAATCAAACTCTTAAGACACTCTACGGGGTTGGTGGTGTTGGGAAGCTGCTTACCAATGAGGAGAGATGCGTCATCAAATACGGTGTTTAGTATGAAGAAGGGGGATGAGGCGAAGGGGAGGGCGTATTGGGGAAAGAAGCATCGCCACCGCTCAGACGCAGGGGTCACTGCAGGCAGGGACAAGGAAGCAGCACAGAAATGGGTGGAAGGGAGTAGGTGTTGTGGGACTACAAGTTCGTCACTGTTGGCCCTTGCAGGGTGTTTTTGAGAATTCTCAAGGTGCTTTTGAGAATTTTCAAGGTGTTTTTGAGTATTCTCAAGGTGTTTTTGAGAATTCTCAAGGTGTTCTTGAGACTTCTCAAGGTGTTTTTGAGAATGCTCAACAACACCCAGGGGCAAGGAAGTGGCAGAGAGGTGGGTGGGAGGGGGAGCTGCTGTAAAACTACGAGTGTTCGTAATTGTTGGCTGCTGCTGCAGTGTGGCCAGATGGGTTGAGAGGCAGGACGTGGGGAGAGAGAAGGGACTTGTTTGAGGGGGCCAGAGAGGGAATACGATCGGAGGGAATAAGATGAGCGATGAGAGGACTGTTGGTGTTGCACAGGCATGCACTGCAGCATGCATAGACTGGGTGCTCGGCTGCTTGCCTGAGAGCAGAAGGGCCCACCTTGATCGCAGCGGGACTGCGGGGAGAATTGGTGCAGCGCTGCGATTTGCTGGGCCAGGCTCTGAAAGTGCATTCTCCCCGTGCGGTCCGGGGCGTCTGCGCGGGGGGGAGGTGGGGGGATGGGGGAGAGAGGAAGGGAGAGCGGGAGAAATGAAGAGGGAGAGGAGTGTGCGTGTGATAGTGTGAAGGGGGGTTGTCTGAGATGCAGTGAAGTGTTTGTGAGAGGCCAGCGGTGTGTGGAGCAGAAAACGGATGGGTAATGGCACCTACTCGGGAAGAAAGAAAGAAAAGGGGAATGTACCGGGGAAGAATGAGAAGGGGACTGTACCGGGGAAGAAGGAGCCATCGAGGAGGCATTTGACGGTGGCGCGGGGCAGCAGAGCAGCGAGGGAGTCACACAGGCGCATCACTGCCAGCCCCCCCGCTGACGTCCCCGACACCAGCACTGTCGTCGCCCTCGCTATTGCTCGGTTTGCCAGCAGGTCTGGCGAGGTTGCAGAGGAGGCATGAGTAGGGACAGACAAAAAGGCGGTACCAGGAGGGAACACAGAGGAACCGAGAAGGGCGGAGAGGTCACAGCATGGACACGTAACTGTGTCGGGAATGCTACATACTTGGATGGCCAGCCATTGTTGAAACAAAGGATTGATTCTTGAGGCGCCTGAAAATTCATCTCCTGAATACGAGTCAAGGTGATTCTTGAGGCGCTGGAATGATAGCACCAACCATACACGTTTCAGCGCCTCAAGAATCAATCCAAAACACACCATCCACAACGGCATGTCGTGAATTACTTCCCCGCTGGTCCGCTCCTTGCCTTGTAACACCTTCCCCTTTTCTTTCACTCCTCAGTTTCCTGCTTCCTGTTTCCTGCCTCCTTAGTTCCCTGCTGCCTGTGTCTCAGGCTACCCTTGCAACAAGACTAAATCCTCCCTCGCGAGGGCTCCGTCAGTTTGCTGTTAGCTTCTCCTAGCTGCTTGCTTCCTTGGTTGGGAAACAAATTGCAGTATTATGAGAAACAAACAAGCAAAAAGCAAGGAGCCCGAGTGCTACTCCTGCCTACATCTACTCCCAACTCCTGCCTAGGTTGCTTCCTCCACAAGCAAGCTCCTGTGCACCAAGCGAGTCAGACGAGCTGCTCGCGAGGGCTCCTAGGTGCTAGCTGGTTCCCACTGGGCCTGCTAGGCATGCACCGCCTTCCAGCCTGGTGACTTCGAAATTGAATTCACAGGCTGGAATTGAATTCGCCTCCCACCATCCACCTTGAATTCGCCTCCCACCAACCACCTCGAAATCCCTCAGCTACTCGGCTCTGAAATTCGCCTCCTCACTCGGCTCACCATTCCAAGCACACAAACGAAATTAGAATGCAAAACCAGAATATAATACAACATTACCTTAGCTGCTGTGCAATTCACACTTAGCTTCCAGCTAAGTGTTAATAGCGCGACAGGCAGCACCAGCACCCCATTTCATCTCACCTTCCCACGCAACACATATCCCAGACGATCAACGCACCATCCATGATAGCACTGACGATCCTGCTGCCATCCATGTACACGTAGCGCCCCTCCCCCACGGCCACGCGCCCGGCTGCTCCCGCATAGCCTCCCCCATCGCAGTAGACAGCCATGGCCAGGTGCCACCCCGCAAAGAACGGATTCAGCGCGACGCTGCTGCTCAGAATGCCCAAGAATTGACCCTGCGCCCACGTGCCCTGGGGTGAAAGGGGAGAGGGTAGGGGGGGGAGTGTCCAGCGGGAGCAGGCAGGGTGGCATAAGCAAGTGACTTGTGGTTCTCATTATCTGCTGGCGGAACTTTCTTGAGAAGAGAACCAATGTTGGCAAAAATACTCCTAATCATGTTACTGGTTCTTGGGCCCGTGCTGTTGCTGCCAAGGTGGCTTTTTGAGACGCCTCAAAAGTCACCTCGATGTTACTCCCACTCATGCTGGTGCTGCCCAGCTGGATCTGGGCCACATGCTGGTGCTGTCAAGCTGGATCTGGGCCACATGCTGGTGCTGTCAAGCTGGATCTGGGCCACATGCTGGTGCTGTCAAGCTGGATCTGGGCCACATGCTGGTGCTGTCGAGCTGGATTTGGGCCACATGCTGGTGCTGTCGAGCTGCATCTCGGCTCGAATGCAGCACTGCCTTCCGTTGACGCACCACCCGCCGCCCGGTTTAGTTTCGAGACGTCTCAAAACTCACTCACGTTGTTGGTTGTCAGCCACGTGCTCTGGTAGCGCTGCCCAGCTGCATCCTGGCTCGAACGTGGCACTGCCTTCAATTCGCGCACCACCCGCGCCGCCCCCCCCCCCCCCTCCCTCCCCCTCCCACCCGGTGATTTTTCAATCGACTAGAAAATCACCTTTGGCAAGGATGATTCCGCTCACGTTATTGGTTGTCGGCCACATGCTGGTGCTTCCAAGCTGCATCCCGGCTCGAATGCGGCACTGCCGTTTGTTGCCGCACCACCCGCCGCCCGGAAAGTGGATGTGCCATGTGGAGGCGCCCTTCCAAGGTGCCTCCCGCAGGTAGTACCCCGGCGGACTGGGATAGATGAACGGGGGGGGTCAAGCGGAGAAGGGGATGGGGGAAATGGGATAGGAGAGATGGGGAGTGACGCCCACGGGGTGTGGCGCCCTTCCAAGGTGCCTCCCGCAGGTACTACCCCGGCGGACTGGGATAGATGCACGGGGGGGGTCAAGCGGAGAAGGGGATGGGGGAAATGGGATAGGAGAGATGGGGAGTGACGCCCACGGGGTGTGGCGCCCTTCCAAGGTGCCTCCCGCAGGTACTACCCCGGCGGACTGGGATAGATGCACGGGGGGGGTCAAGCGGAGAAGGGGATGGGGGAAATGGGATAGGAGAGATGGGGAGTGACGCCCACGGGGTGTGGCGCCCTTCCAAGGTGCCTCCCGCAGGTACTACCCCGGTGGACTGGGATAGATGCACGGGGGGGGTCAAGCGGAGAAGGGGATGGGGGAAATGGGATAGGAGAGATGGGGAGTGACGCCCACGGGGTGTGGCGCCCTTCCAAGGTGCCTCCCGCAGGTAGTACCCCGGTGGACTGGGATAGATGCACGGGGGGGGTCAAGCGGAGAAGGGGATAGGGGAAATGGGATAGGAGAGATGGGGAGTGACGCCCACGGGGTGTGGCGCCCTTCCAAGGTGCCTCCCGCAGGTAGTACCCCGGCGGACTGGGATAGATGCACGGGGGGGGTCAAGCGGAGAAGGGGATGGGGGAAATGGGATAGGAGAGATGGGGAGTGACGCCCACGGGGTGTGGCGCCCTTCCAAGGTGCCTCCCGCAGGTACTACCCCGGCGGACTGGGATAGATGCACGGGGGACAAGAAGAGGCGCGGGGGAGGGGGAGGGGGAAGAGGGAGGCGGAATGAGGAAGTGGTGGCTTGACGCCCTCCCCAGGTGCCGCTCGCAGGTAATACCCCTGCGGACTGGGACAACGTGTAGGGGAGCATGAGAGTAGGGGGTGAGGATGGGGAGGGAACGGAGGGAGAGGGCGGGGAAAGAGTTTGAGACCCCTCACGAGTCATGCAGTACCACGGCGGACTGGGAAAATGTGTGGGGGAGAAGAAGAGAAGGGGACGGGTGGTGGGGAAAGAGGAAGCGGGAGACTGGATAGGGGAAGAGTTAGAGACTCCTCAAGAATCAGGTAATTCCCGGTGGACTGGGGTCGATGTGTGGGGTGGAAGAAGAGGAGTGAGAGAGAGGGAGAGTGGGGACAGCAGGGACAGTGTAGCATCGCTGTCTCATCGTGGCGCCATAGCTCTAAGGTTCAGACGAGACAGAGTGTAGTGGAGAAACAGCCACACAGTGCCGACTTTTGAGACGCCTCAAACACAGTGGAAGCAGCCTTATAGGGAAGCACACCATGCAGGCTGAGGGAGGGGCATATCTGTTGTCTACTAATGCTCTGAATGCCGGCTGAGGGAGGGGCATATCTGTTGTCTACTAATGCTCTGAATGCCGGCTGAGGGAGGGGCATATCTGTTGTCTAATAATGCTCTGAATGCCGGCTGAGGGAGGGGCATATCTGTTGTCTACTAATGCTCTGAATGCCGGCTGAGGGAGGGGCATATCTGTTGTCTACTAATGCTCTGAATGCAGGCTGAGGGAGGGGCATATCTGTTGTCTACTAATGCTCTGAATGCTGGCTGAGTGGGGGCGTATCTGTTGTCTAAATGCTCTGATGCCGTTTCTGGCAAAATACAGGACCCAGCAATCCACTCCATACCTCCCATCCAGGCATCGCGCTCCGTATTTATTCTCCGGAAGAAGAACCAGCGTGGCGGGACGTGGATCGCTCTCTACTCGTCGCGCCCTTCCTTGCCGCAGCGCGCTCAGTCTTGAAGGGCACACCGCTAGTAGGGCCAAAAGCGCCACGGAGTTTAGCCATGCCACGTGGACGGCTGGAATGCGATCACGACAACTGGTTTCTAATAATCCTCGCATCGAGATCGACGGCCACGGAATCACGATGGATTTTATGAGGCGGCGAGATGATTATGCCTTGGGCATGCGAGATATGGCGACGGAAAAATGAAATACACGACAGAGAACGAGGTCATAAGTGCTACGACCCGTGATACGGGTGAATGAGGGAAACGATTGGCTGCGGGAAACGGGTGGCTGGCTCCAAAATACGCGGTAGGGGAATTGTGCAGCACAGCACGGGGTGTAATGACAAGGCGAGGTGTGAGGAGATTGGGCCCTCGACAGGCAGATGTCGCCGCAACCTCGGACAAACCACTGAAGGGGAGTCAGGTGAGGCCATGATGGAAACTGGATCGCCTATAGCGACTAGCTCGGCGGGTAATTAGCGAGCGACATGCTGCGGTTGGTGGCTTTCGCTGGAACAGTGTTCGTCTTTGAACTCTATTGGTTGGGTGTCTCAGCTGTCTGTGTTGGACCGCGATTGACAACGCGTAGCTGCGAAGTACGGCTAGGTGTGTCAACTAGGATTGACCTCGTCCCTAGCTGGCTAATGGTCCTTCCTGTGCCGCGATGTTCGCTAACTTGCAGCTTGATTTATTTCTCCTGGCGATTTTTTTTGGCTCGAAGTGTGTCGAGTCGCCCAGTTTTCTTTCAGTAACTTACTCATCGCCAGCATTGGCGATAATCGCCTAGGTAGGAGGCGAATGAATGCAAGGGAAATGTGGAAATGCCGATTTGCAGGGAACGAGATGACCAAACATGCAACGCGGATTTGCAGCGCCAGATGGCGCTGGCTCTCGCAAACAAGTTGAGAGTCGCAAGCGAAGATCGCCGTCGTTTCGCATACCAGACTCTAGGAGTTTTGAACGAAAAACTCCCGTGGTTCGCACTGCCCGTTGGCCACAGAAAGCAGTTCATCGTTGCAAAGTTGGTCACCAACATTTCGCAATAGTTCGTAAATAATGTGGGGAAAGCGTTATTGAAAATGGTGATGCCAGGGAAGGGCAGTGACAATATCAAAATGTAGAAGGTTGCACGTGAAGAGGACTGCATAATTTGTCCCACCAAAATGTATATGACTACATACGGTAACTTTTCCCAGCAAAACGTAGAAGGTGGTGATGAAGGTATAAGCACATGCAAGACAAGGGCTAGTCTCAATGTAAATGCAGCATAATGTAGAAGACTAACAAATTTTCTCATTGTAACCACAATCATACATCCCCAGAGTTTAATTCCTCAAGTGTACAGCACTGAGGAATCAGTATTCCCCAGGGCCATCCATTGAGCTACAGCAACATGCACCAGAGTCCTCGCAACCTTCACCACACTCCACCGCCACGAAGTGGCGATGCTGTGTGCAATAAGACATACTGGCATAAATGCACCAAACCCTTTCTTCGACTGTACTACATCAACTATGCCACTGTACACTGTTGCCGCGGTACCCTGTGCTGCACTGCACTCTCTTTCTGTGCACCAGCCAGCAGGATCCTCCAGAGGTGGAAGAAATGAACGTGATTCTAATGAAGCCAATAGATTGATTTGTGACCAGACTAATCTCCGCAGGCAGCTTAACGGGTTGGTGGTGTTGGGAAGCTGGTTACCAATCAGCAGCGAGATTTTATCGAAGACGGAGTTTACGATGAAATAAGGGGAAGAGGCGAGGGGGAGGGCGTATTGGGGAAAGGAGCATTGCCACCGCTCAGACGCAGGGGTCACTGCAGGCATGGATAAGGAAGTGTCAAGAGTAGGGTGAGAGGGGAAAAAAAAAAAAAAAAAAAAAAGGTGAGGATTCTGAAAAAAAAGGGATGGTATTCTGGGAAAAAAAGTGAGGATTGCCGTCCTTGGACGCAGCAGAAGCGAGACATAAAGTAGCGAGAGGTGAGGTGGGACATGGAGGGAGGAGGGACGGATGACTACGCAGGGAGGAAAACTTTGAAGGGACGGACGAGTAACGGTACGCGTTTGAAGGTGATTCAAGCACCGAAACAGCATCAGGTACACCAGCATAGACCGGAGCTGGTTGCATGAGAGCAGGTGAGCCCACCTTGATCGCAGCGGGATTGCGGGGAAAATTGGTGCAGCGCTAGGACGTGCTGGGCCAGGTGCTGGAAGCTCATTCGCCCCGTGCGGTCCGGTGAGTCTGGTGGAGGGGGGGAGGGGGAGGAAGGGTGGATGGAAATAGAGCATAGGAAACAGGGGTTGACTGTGGGACTTCAGGGGTAGGAGAAAGAAGGAGAGACTGGGGCCCGGGAGGTGTGAATGGAGGATGGTTGGAGAAAATGCGGGAAGCAGGGAGGAAGGTGATCGTGAGAGGGCAAGAGAGCAGCGGGATGCATACCGGGGAAGAAGGAGCCATCGAGGAGGCATTTGACGGTGGCGCGGGGCAGCAGAGCAGCGAGGGAGTCACACAGGCGCATCACTGCCAGCCCCCCCGCTGACGTCCCCGACACCAGCACCTCGGTTGCCCTGCTCAGCGCCTGGTTTTCTAGCAGGTCTGATGCGGTGAACAGCAGTGAGAGCGTCGGCACGAGGAGGGGCAGATGGAGAGGAGGTGTGATTCGGGGAAGGCAGAGGTGCGGCATGAAAAGCGCAGACGGAGAAAGAAAGAAACTCTCTCTCTGGCTTGTTTCTTAAACTATTAAATGACTTTGGTTCCAAGATACTCTTTGCTTCTAAGAAACTCTGTCCCACCACACACTTCCATTCATCTCAAACAACGCACCATGCAGGATAGCGCTGGCAATCCTGCTGCCGTCCATGTGCACAAAGCGCCTCTTCCCCACGGCCACGCGCCCGGCTGCTCCCGCATAGCCGCCCCCATCGCAGTAGACAGCCATGGCCAGGTGCCACCCCGCAAAGAACGGGTTTGCCCCCTCGTTGCTGCTCAGAATGCCTTCGAAACGGCGCTGCACCCACGAGGCCTGCGGGAGGGAGAGAGTGGTGGGGAAGTTGAGGGCGCACGGGCGGTCGAGAATCTTGTGATGGAAGCCTTGAGACATCCCAAAATTTCACTTTTTTCGTACGGGCGGTTGAAATTCTTGTGATTGAAGCCAGTCTCCTTTCGATCGGCAACACTCCATGTCGAGCGCAACTGTTTTTTTCCCTCCTAAAGGCTTGCTGCTGCTCCCCGAAATCTGCCAAAGACAATGCAACCCCGCGGACGGGGAGGAGGAGAAACTGGGTGGATGATATGAAGAGCTGAAGGGCGAAGGAAGAGCAGGGAATGGTTTAATGTTCGCATACAAATAGGGGACAATCTTTTTGAGAATTACCAGAAATAAATTGAATACAGATGCTGGGAAAGAAATATGTCCAAGCACAAATGACGTGAATGATTCCACTCACGTTATTGGTCGGCGGCCAGCTGGTGGTGCCGCCCAGCAGCTGCCCGGCCCGCCTGGCGCACCGGCTCTTGGTGGCGCACCACCCGCCGCCCGGAAAGTGGATGTGCCACGAGGTGACGCCCTCCCCAGGTGCCGCCCGCAGGTAATACCCCGGCGGACTGAACCGCAGGTAATACCCCGGGGAGGGTGGAGAGATGGGGGAGAGGGTGGAGGGGGAAGGGTGGTGGAGAGGGGAAAGTAAGAAAATCAGGAACAGTCTCGGATCATTCTCTCATTATGGTGCTACCACTCTCACTGTTAGGTTCAAAGGCGCCGGAATGCTCAGTGAGCGGCATAATTCTCGTTTAGGATAGATACACTGAGGGTCAGCGGCGGAACTTGCAATAGAGCGCCGTCTCCGGCCAGAGAGGGGACCTGGTATTACCAGCTAGTAGCTAATATTTCCCCGTGGCGCATGGTACCTTCCGTCCAGGCATCGCGCTCGGTATTTATTCTCTGGTAGAAGAACCAACGTCGCGAGACGTGGTTCGTTCGCTGCTCGTCGCGCCGTTACTCGCCGCAGCGCGATTGATCTTGAAGGACACACCGCTATGAGGGCCAAAAGCGCCACGGAGATTCGCCATGCCACGTGGACGGCTGGAATTCGAGCACGACGTCTGATTTCTAGTAATCCTCGCGTTAAGATCGACGGGCACAGACTCATGACGGAGCGAATATTTTTTGCCTTCACTATTTCGAGATAAGGCGACGGAGGGAGGAAAGAGACGACTCAGACTCAAAGGCGCTACTGTTAGTGGTAGGTAGTTGTACCTGTGATGGCCAGTGATAGCCTCACATCGATTTGCAAGAGCTTGGACGGTACCGTACCTGTGACGGGAAGCATCATTCTTTGCATGCGCTTATGCACGCTGCAGGGTGGAAGTTGAGGTGAGGATAGAAGTTGCGGCTCGACGGGCTGCCGTGCCGCCGAATGCTCAGACAAGCCGCTGAGAGGTAATCGTACGTAAGGCCATGGCGGAAACTGGGTCGTCTATAGTGACTAGCTTGCCAGGTAGTTAGCGACACGATTTGAAGTTCAACCAAGTTGGTGGCTTCCTGCGGAGCTGTGATCGTCTGAGACTCTATTCGCTGGGTCTTATCTGAACGGTCTGTGCTGGACTTGGGATTTGACACGTAACTGCGAGATTTGGCTCAGTTCTATGCAAGTTGGACTGGACGCCTCGTGCCTGAGCAAGCGGGTGGTCCCCCATTGCATCACGATGTACGGTAGCAGTAACTGCTGACGCGAGGGGTGAACTTTCTTTTCTGGCCATTATTTTGGCTGTAAGTGCGACGGGTCGCCCATTTTCCATGCGGTTCGGTAACATGTGTGAATGCCGATTTACAAGGAACGACACAGCGAGCAGAAAACGTGGCGGAATTGCAACACAAGATGGCGCTCACGAAATTGAGAGTGGCGATCAACGGCACGCATTGTTTCGCACAGCTCGCTGTCCAGAGCATTCAGTGCAGCTCGTCATCAACTATTTGTCGTTATTCTTCGTCAATGCGGGGAACGCTCGGGTGATGCAGCATGTGCACGGGAAGCGGTGTTAAACATTGTAACAAAACGAAGAACTTGTAGTGCACATACCACTTTATATCTCTTCTCAATAACCACCATACATAAAGATTCTCCCTTTTCAAGCGTAAAGCATTGGTGGATCAGTACTCCCCCATGCCACCCATCGAGCTACAGCCACATTAATAGGAGTCCTGTCAACCTTCACTGCACCCCACAACCGTGAAGTTACTGTGCTGTGTGCAATAAGCCACACCGGAACAAATGCACCAAACCCTTTCTTGGTCTTCACTATATCGACTATGCCGCTGTACACAGCTGCAGCTGCACCCTGTGCTGCACTGCACTCTCTTTCTGAGCACCAGCCGTTGGGTCCCTCCTGTGGTGGTCGAAATGAACGTGATTGTAACGAAGTCAATAAATCCGGTTGTGACCGAATCTTGTTAGGCAGCCTACAGGGTTGGTGGTGTTGGGAAGCTGGTTACCAATCAGCAACGCGACTCTATCGAAGGTAGGGTTGACAACAAAGAATGGAGAGGAGGCGAGCGGAAGCGCGTATTGGGGAAAGAAGCATCGCCACCTCTCAGACGCAGGGGTCACTGCAGGCAGGGCGGGGTGTGCGGAGGCACAAGGGAGTGACGAGGAGATAAGTGGGGGGGGGGGGGGGCGACACAAAAGACATGGGATAGATGGATTGATAAGAGAGAGATGTTGGGGTATGACTGTTGGTCCCGGCAGTGGCAAGATGTTAAGTAGCGGAGGGCAAAGAAGGAGACGGTTCAGAGGGAGGAAGAACAGCGGGCAGAGAGGGGATACAGTGGGAGGGGAGAAAACAGGGGATCAGAACAGCGCCAGATACAGGCAATGAACCGTCATGGACTGTGAGTGGTTGCATAGGAGCACGTGGACGGCCCACCTTGATTGCAGCGGGACTGCGGGGAGAACTGGTGCAGCGCTGAGATCTGTTGTTGAGCCAGGCGCTGAAAATGCGTTCAGTTTCTTAGGTGACTCAAAAAGCAAGTGGTTAAAAAAATCGTTACCTTGATCGCAGCGGGATTGCGGCGAGAATCGGTGCAGCGCTGAGACTTGCTGCGCCAGGCTCTGGAAGTGCATTCGCCCCGTGCGGTCCGGGGCGTCTGTGCGGTGGGTAAGGGAAAGAGATGGGAGAGCGCGGGAAACAGGTTGAGAAAGTAGGGGAAGGAGTGCGGTTATTGGGGTGAGAATGGGGTCAAAGGAAAGGGAGAGAGAACGGGGGAAGGATGCAAGGTTCAAAAAAACGTCGTTTTTTTTGAAAATTTACCGTAAAAAACGGCCGTAAAAAACGACCGTAAAAAATGGTTAAAAAGGTTCCAGAAGGTGGTTTCGTTTGAAGAAAAAATCAGCCGATTTCTGGGACCAAATTGATGGCGAAAGGTACCAGGATGGAGAGGACGAACCCCTCCTTGCATGCGTGCGCTTGTGGGCATGATTGAAATTGTATTCGACCTTGTTTTTCCCTTTTTTTGTTGGTGACAACAGTTCTCTAACAAAAAAACGCCGTTTTTTTGGAAAATTACCGTAAAAAACGGACCGTTTTTTACGAAAACCGTAATTTTGAACCTTGGAAGGATGGATACAATGGGGGCAGGGGAGAAGCAAGTCATGGTGGGAGGGAGGGAGGCGACGGTAAGTGGAGGCCAGTAATTCCAGAAAATGCAGAAGCGGCATTTTCCAAGAAAAAAGACACTTCTAAGATCTCAGTGGGAAGCATAAAAGAGCTGCGCATCAGGGACAAAAGAGAAGGGGAGCGTACCCTGGAAGAATGAGAAGGCGCACATACCAGGAAAGAAAGAGCCATCGAGGAGGCATTTGACGGTGGCGCGGGGCAGCAGAGCAGCGAGGGAGTCACACAGGCGCATCACTGCCAGCCCCCCTGCTGACGTGCCCGAGACAAGCACCTCGGTTGCCCTCGCTATCGCCCGGTTTGCCAAGAGGTCTGATGCGGTGAGAAGTGGTGAGCGGAGAGGCAGGAGAAGGGACGGACGGAGAGGAGGCATGAAAAGAACGGTGGGAGAGGGACAAACGCTCTTGCATGTTTCCTTAACTCCCCAGCATTCTATCAAGGTACGAACATGTGGCACTGCCAATAGCACGTTGCATGACACCACACACACCCCAAAGGAACGAATTTTGTTGGGCGACTGAAAGAGCTCCCCACACATCCCTCCCCCCACACATCCCTCCCCCCACACATCCCTTCCCCCACACATCCCTCCCACACCCATCCCTCAACGCACATGCCAAACAACGCACCATCCATGATAGCGCTGACGATCCTGCTGCCATCCATGTACACGTAGCGTCCCTCCCCCACGGCCACGCGCCCAGCTGACCCCGCATAGCCGCCCCCATCGCAGTAGACAGCCATGGCCAGGTGCCACCCCGCAAAGAACGGGTTTGCCCCCTCGTTGCTGCTCAGAATGCCCCCAAACCGGCCCTGCGCCCACGAGGCCTGCGGGAGGGAGAGAGTGGGAGAGGGTTTTGAAGCAGTTGAGAATCACACGATACAACCAGCAGTTGCTTCTGATTTGCCTTTTTTCTAAAGACTCGCTGCTGCCCAAAATGTGCCTAAGCCAATGCTCGTACCTTGATAGAATGTATTTAGAACATGTGTTTTGAGGATCATCAGAAATTGGTCATACTATAACTTGGTATGTGGGAAAATCTGTCAAGCGTATGATTCCACTCACGTTATTGGTCGGCGGCCACCTGGTGGTGCCGCCCAGCAGCCGCCCGGTCCGCCAGCTGCACTGGCTCTTGGTGGCGCACCACCCGCCGCCCGGAAAGTGGATATGCCACGAGGTGACGCCCTCCCCAGGTGCTGCCCGGAAGTAATACCCCGGCGGACTGGGATAGAGGCAAGGGGGACAAGACGGGAGGGAGGGGGCATTAGGATGAGGGAGCGGGGTAACGCCCTCCCCAGTTGCAGCCCGGAAGTAATACCCCGGCGGACTGGGATTGATGCAAGGTGGACAAGCGGAAAAGGGTGAAGGGGGAAGTGGACTGGGGGATTGAGTGGGAGAGAAGAAACATTCTAGTGATGGCTCAATATGGTGGTCGGGAGTGCATGCAGCACCGCGCAGCGAAGCACACCGTGATGTGGACAATGATTGCACAATCATGTGCTGTTGATTTCGCTTGTGAACCCTTGGAGTGCATGCAGCGCCACCTTTCTGAAGCACAGAACTTGCCACAGATTTTGCCACAAATTTTGGAACAGATTTTGTTAAAGAATATCATCTACAAGCTTCCACTGCATACCTCCCATCCAAGCATCGCGCTCCGTATTTATTATCCGGAAGAAGAACCAACGTGGCGAGACGTGGTTCGCTCGTCGCTCGAAGCGCCCCTCCTAGCCGCAGCGCGCCCAGTCTTGAAGGGCACACCGCCAGGAGGATAAAAAACATCACGGCGAATCGCCATGCGACGTGGACGGCTGGGATTCGATCACGACAGTAGGTTTTGAAGCCTCGCATTACCGAGATCGACGGGTAGCGAGTCATGATGGGATTTAAGATGCGGCGTGAAAAGTTCGCCTGGAAAAAACGCGGCTTCAGCATGCGAGTTAAGGAGACGGAAATTCAGACGAGATGACAAAGGAAGAGGCGATAGGGGAAGAGGTGATAGGGAAAGGCGGTACGGCAGGCGTGAAACGTGAGGTGAAAGGCGAGATGGGGAGATTAGGACTGGACGGGCCGCTGCCGAGGACAGATCGCCAAAAGGAATTCGTGAGACGATCGCCATGGCGGAGATCAGTCGTCTATAAATAAGCGACTTTGCAAACACTAGCTTGGCGAGTACACGTTGCGGTTGATGGTTGTGCGCCTGATTGTTATTGGCTGAGTGACTGAACTGTCTGCACTGCGATTGGACACGCGTAGCAGCGGGATTGGCTGTAAATCTCTTGATGCGGATCTGACGCTTGATGAATGGCGGTCCTTCCTGCGGTACGATGTTTCCTAAGCGGGCTTCTAGATAATCCGAATCGGGCGATGAAGTCGAGAAGACAGGTGCAACGGCGACAAGAGAGGTTGGCGCTGGTCGGTTATTGGCAGCCATTATTTTCTAACAGACGGACAGGCACTATGCGCGCAATATGGAGGAAGAGCAATACCACCTAGTCGCCGCCTGTTTCACGCCCTGAACGTCTTCATGAGACACCCTAAACGTTTTTCGGCAAGATCGATGAGAATCTCGAATTCTAGGGCAGAAACGCAGCTCTCATATGTCGATGTCGCAAAACTCCCACTGTGTGATAGCGGCGCATGGGCCAAGTTTCTGGTTGGGAAACATTTCCGTTCCTCAAACATTACCCTCTAGATTCAACTCGTCCTAAAACACTCAAGGGTGGTTGCTGATGGGAGGGGCATATAGGCCTTGAAATTGCCGGTGACCAGGAGCATCTGGTTTGGGAAAAGCAGGCGGCGGGAGTGTGTGTTTGGCCAACCGCCGCCACAACTGCTCTGGTTTGGATGGAGGTGTATAATAGTTCGTCTAGGGTGAAATGATTTCCAGGTGTACGATCAGCATTTTGCATGAACTAGACTCCTCCACCGCTAGTAATCTCTTATCGAGGATCCGCTCTGACGGGCCGCACAACCTTCCAGAAGTCAAGCCAGGTGTGGACGAGTTTGTTGTGTGGCCTTGGTGCTTCGCGCCAACGAACCCGTCAATGGCCCACCAACCAAAACACATCGGTCCTCTGCCGAATTTGGGCGAACTACTCTACGAATTTTCGAAAATTGTAACTTCATTCCTGCACGCGCTGATCGCATTGCGAGACATTGAACTGATCTCGCTTCTGTTCGCGAAAACTTCAAGGCCCAAGAACGTAGCGCTGCAATCCCAACGGCCTGGCCTTGGTTCTTGGGACTGCCTTCCACTGTGGAGTGCCCTCCTTCACCAACGTCCCCCAAACCAATTCCCCTCTGGATCGAGGAATCCCTGTGGGTCTCACGGTCACACTCTCCCATCCCTTCCCACCGCATGCATCGAATGTCCTTGCTTTTACATGGTCCAAGTTTTCTGGTTGTAGAATGTGACTTGCAACTCGAGCAGCAACTCCAGGCGTCACGTCAAGGCCTTCCGTCCACACAGCTCCGCAAGCTGTAGCGAGAGGCTGGCTGCCTGCCCCCATTCTGACTCGTCGCTCGCTGCAACCGCGGCAGCTCTGACTGGACGCCTGGTCGACTGATACTAGAGCTTGTTGCTTGTGCCGCTGTTCGGACTAAAGGAAGTCACAGAGGCCGTTGAAACAATCAGTTAACAATCTCGCGTAGTACTCGGCCAGTTTAACCGATCGTATCCGCTGATCTTCCGGCCGTTAGATTCTCTCTTTGCGTCTCGAACGTCATGACGACTGTCGCAGTGACACGTGGCGGTCCTCAAGCCGCAGTAGCTCTAGCGGCCTGCGCGGCGGCCGGTACGGCTTGCCTCGTGTGGGCCCTCCGCGGTCGTTACTTACAGGTGTTCCTCGGAACGAGTCCCGAGAAAGGCGGCGGAAATGGCGGGAATGGAGAGAAGGAACAGCAGGGAGTCACGCTGACGTCACTGAACCACTTGATCGCGCTGACGGGTGACAGCTGGCACTCCTCGCTACAGCGGCTCGCGATTGGACAAATGGTCATCGGTGTGAGTAGTGGCAGTAGAACCAGCCAACAGGTGTGCCAAGAAAAGTAGCTCGTTATTCGCGTTCACTTCGCGTGCCCGACAGGCGATTACGAGTAGCAGCAGTGCTTAACATGTCCGGACACAAAATTCTGAGAACTTCTGCCGTTGTCCCTCCTTCCCCACATTTCCCATCACCGTTCCTCACCAGTTGAAGCTCACCAGCGAGCCCAGACTCGCAGCCATCCCCTCGCCGCTGCCTCACTCGCTCGCCATGCTGGCATCTCTGCGTGACGTGGACCTGTCGGCCAATGGGCTTTCGACATTTCCCGACGCCCTGCTGTCCGTTCCGGAGCTTAAGAAACTCAATCTGTCGAGAAACAAACTCACAAGGTGAGAACTGAGATGCCTTGAAGCTTGTGGAGTAGCCAGCCTGCAAGGGGAGGTTTGGGACATCTCAAGGAAGACCAGACGAATCCTTGAAAGTTTCTTAGTTTCCCAGTTCCCTTCTTTCCCCTCTGGGGAGTTCTCGCCCTCCCTCTCCATCCTCCCTCCTTCCCTCTCCATCCTCCCTCCTTCCCTCTCCATCCTCCCTCCTTCCCTCTCCATCCTCCCTCCTTCCCTCTCCATCCTCCCTCCTTCCCTCTCCATCCTCCCTCCTTCCCTCTCCATCCTCCCTCCTTCCCTCTCCATCCTCCCTCCTTCCCTCTCCATCCTCCCTCCTTCCCTCTCCATCCTCCCTCCTTCCCTCTCCATCCTCCCTCCTTCCCTCTCCATCCTCCCTCCTTCCCTCTCCATCCTCCCTCCTTCCCTCTCCATCCTCCCTCCTTCCCTCTCCATCCTCCCTCCTTCCCTCTCCATCCTCCCTCCTTCCCTCTCCATCCTCCCTCCCTCCCTCTCCATCCTCCCTCCTTCCCTCTCCATCCTCCCTCCCTCCCTCTCCATCCTCCCTCCTTCCCGCTCCCTCTCTCCCTCCCTCCCTCTCCATCCTCCCTCCTTCCCGCTCCCTCTCTCCCTCCCTCCCTCTCCATCCTCCCTCCTTCCCGCTCCCTCTCTCCCTCCTCCCGTGCTTCTTCCAACGCGCACAACCGCATAGCCGGCCTTCCTTACGTCATGAGCCATCCCACCCACCTCCCTCCACACCCCTCAGCTATTCCTTCCTCTCCCTCAATCCCCCTTCCTTCATGCCTCTCCCTCCATACCCATTTTCCTCTCTCGTCCCTTCACCACTCCTTCACACCCCCCCTCCACCACCACCCTTCCCCCCCTTGCTCCCACTTCTCCCCCCCAAACACTCAGTCTTCCCCAGGAAATACGTCAGCTCTCCCACCTGGAGCACCTGGACTTGGGCCGAAACCACCTATCAGGTGTGCCTGAGGAGATCGGGCACCTGACGAAGCTCCTGACGCTCAACCTGATGTGCAACCAGCTGGAGAGCCTACCTGAGAGCATCGGGCGGCTTACAAGGGTGTTCCGCCTGGGGTTCAAAAGCAATAGGCTCAGGTGCGATTCCACAGTTAGGTGTAGTGCCTAGAATACCACAGTTCATCCTATTTCGCAGTCCACCACTTCACCTCATAGACTTTCGCCTCACGGCCAACGGGATGCTATCTGTTTGCGCCATTCCGTCGCTTCCCTTCTCTCAGCGCCCTGCCCTCGTCCATAGGCGGCATGACCTCTCTCGTGGAGCTCTCGTGGAGCTCTCGTGGAGCTCTACCTCACAAACAACCGCCTCATTGAGTCACCCCCCTACCCTTCCCCCCTTCCTCTTCCCTCTCCATCAGCGCCCTGCCCTCTTCAATAGGCGGCATGACCTCTCCCGTGGAGCTCTACTTTACGGAAAACCGCCTCACTCCCTTGCTTGCACCAACTAGCTGTTTCTGTTCCTGCCCTCCCTTCCACTTCCCTCCCTCAGTGTCCTGTCCTCATCACTAGGCGGCATAACCTCTCTCATGGAGCTCTACCTTACCGTCTCACCGCCCTGCCTGAAATTCATACTCTCCATTCCCTTCCCACCTTCCCTTTTCTTCCCCTCCATCAGCGCCCTGCCCTCGTCCATAGGCGGAATGACCTCACTCGTGGAGCTCTACCTCACAGACAACCGCCTCACCGCCCTGCCTGATTCCATCGGCTGCTGCACCAACCTTGTCAAACTGCAGGTCAGCTCTGGATTTCCATTCCCCACCCTCCATCCGTAACTGCTCCGTCTTGCAGCCAACTGTAATAACTGAGCTTGAACTGATAAATCAATAACGAGCTCAAAGCTCTAAGTGCATCCGAAATGGGCAAGGTATGGATGGGGAGGGAATTGGGGGCAATCCGTAGGGGATTGAGGGCAATCCCATCCCAAGGCAATCTCCAATTGGTGGGTTGGAGATTGCTTGGTGATTACATTTGGATTTGGTTGAGATGTGGGTGTACACCGAACCGACACAAAGTGCTAACTACACTAAGCTAGGATATAAAAAATACAAGTACAAAAGTCGAGATTGAGGGCTAACACTAACACCAACAACCTGCACGCCCTCCCCTCTATCACTCACCCCTCACCTGCTGTCCCCTTCTCTCAACCCCCCTCCTTTTCGACAGGCCTCGTTCAACGAGGTGTACGCCCTGCCAGACTCTATCGGCCATCTCTCCCGCCTCGAGCTGCTGCTTCTCGCAGCCAACAATCTGCACGCCCTGCCCTATCACTCACCCTTCACCTGCTTTCCCCCTTCTCAACCCCCGCCATCACCAGGCCTCGTTCAACGAGCTGTACGCCCTGCCGGACTCTATCGGCCATCTCTCCCGCCTCGAGCTGCTGCTTCTCGCAG